GACTTAAGCACGTGCTGGTTATATGATCCTGGAGAACCTTCCAACCTGCTTTCGTCTCTGTTTCTCTGCTCACAAATGGGGATGAAAAGGGTCCCTGGAGCAAGTTGCTTCACTTTTCTATGCCTCAGTTTCCTCATTGAAAAACTGGAGATGATTCTGACATTTCACAGGGCAGTTGGAAAGCTGAAATACATAAAGGAACTAGGACTGTGCCTGGCAAGTAGAAAGTGCTGGGCAGGCGCAATACAGCGTAGACATTACACTATCATCCTCTTTTCGGGGAGGTGTAGAGCCCGGGTAAGCAAGCTAGTGAGCACAGCCCTCGTTCATGTGCCTGCTGCCTCCACGCACTGGCTTCCTGCACCCCGCCTGACCGGAGGGTCCACACACAGAGGTCCTGAGGAAATCAGAAGCAGAATTCAGAAACGGAAGTCAAGTCTCCAGACAGCTAGACAGCTAGACAGCTAGACAGCTAACCCCTGGCATGGCCCCCAGTCCCCTTGGCGGCTCCCTCTGGGGGCCAAATCCCGTTAGCGTTCCTGGCGCAGCCCCAGCACACCCACCCACTGTGGGCGGAGAGAGGCGTGTGTCATCAAGAAGTGGGTCCTGCTTTCGGGGATTCCTCCAGGATGGCACCGGCGTCTGTGTGAGCTGAGGCCACCCCTGCCCTGGGCCTTGACTGTGGGCCAGTCCCTTGTCCCCTCTTCCCTCCCCTGGACAACAGAAAGCTGATTTTCTCCATGTGGTGTTTGTCTCTGTCTGAGAACGAGAAGGCCTAAGCACCGCCAAGCTTATCTATACAATGGATTTCCTGCTGGGGTGGGAGCTGCCCTGTTCCCCGATGGGTGATAAATTTATGTCGCCTGAGCACACAGATCTACTGACGTTCGTGATGCTGGCGGCCTTGGCAGACCCCAGCTCCCCCAGCCTGGGTGGGAATCAGCAGACATAAACCCTGGCTGACGTGAACAGAGCATCCCAGTTAGGGACAGAGAGCCAGAACTAGGTGGGCGGTGAGGGCGTGGGAAGGTCACTCGTGCATCAAGTGTTTATTGAGGCCTCCTGTGTGCTAGGCCCTGTGCTGGGCGCACAGAGGACACTCCTGCTGATCTGGGACTCGGGCAGCTTACTTGTGCAGTGGCACTAAGGACGGAGGCAGTGGGAGGAATGCATGGCCTGATTCAGGGCTCAAGAAAAGAAAGGCTTCAGGGCTGAGGGAAAGTGTCCTTTCCCGGCAGTAACCCTCAGCAGTGCTGGCCCAGCCGGGCCTGGGAAAGGTGGACAGCACCTTGGCATTGAGTTATCACAGCCTTTGTATCCATGGCGTTCGCATCGTGCCCGACATCCAGAGCATCCTCGGGGCACACCGGGATGCTCCCTTCCCTCCTGCTCCTCTGCCCAGCTGTGTAGCAGCCACGCACTTGGCCTCTTGTCAGAACTCCGAGTTCCCATGTTAATCATAACAAGTGTGTTTTGAGAGGAACTGGCCGGGCCCCTGCCAACAAGCGTTCTCTCCTGTCTTGATAACATCTGCACCAAATTTTCTCCCTTTGTATAATTAGGCCCATTGGTATTTACTGGCTTTAAATTATGGTATGAGTGGCGTCTCTGAAATTTTAGGCCTGCAGTATATGCTGGGGCCCAAGGGAGTGGGAAAAACTGAGCTTTCACCGATGGGATTTCAGGTTTAGCAGGGGAGGGTGGGGTTGGAAACAGGCCACCAGCTACTGGTTGCACCACAACTTCACAGCAGCCCCCAGCCGGTGGGAAGTGATGTTCTGCCCCATCCTGGGAGCAGTCCTGGGCCCGGCCTGCTGGGGAGAAGGAGTCAGGAGGACTCCCCTCCTTCTCTTCCTGCCCTTCCTCACCCCACATCCTCCCACCCTCGCTCCATCCTTGGCCCTGGAGTGACAGAGCTTGGCAAATGGGAAAAGATGCACTAACTGCAAAGAAATGCAGTGAATTCAAACTTAACCCCAAAGCCAACCTCACAAGCACTGGGGTTTGGAGTCGTGCTTTGAAATGCCTGTCATGGTCCAGCTGTGTCTGGGCAGGAGGAGCTGTTGTGGGTGCGAGATAAGAAGTGGAGCTGGGCCTGGGGGAGTTAGTCCTGTCCTGCCAGCTCCCACCAGAAAAGCAGCCAAGGGATGAGCACACCCTCTCCTGACGCCGCCACTGGAGTGAGCTGTATCTCAGCAGTGACTTCATTTTCCCTGATGGCGTTTCCGCAAACTCTCTGGAAGGTTCCAACCAGTAAGCCACACTGTGGTGAGAGGGCTTTGATGCATTTGTTTGTTCTTTCCTTTCAGGACCCTGGAGGCCCCAGATGAGTGATAACTGGATGACCGTATATTTGCTAGGGGGAGGGGAGCACTTTTTTTTAAGATGAGATTTGATCCCAAGCAGGAGGGAAGTTTCCAGATGCCTCTGCGATGCAGAGCAGAGAGGATGGGTGCAGATCCCCTCCCCTGGAGCCTTGCTTGGGCACCCTTAGTTGTTTAGACTCCCTAGGTGAACTCCTACCTCGGAAGGTTGCAGCAGAGGCTGCCTGGGCTTAGGGCAGTGTGCTGTCTGATTGTCTCTGCCAGAATGCTGCCCTTTTCTGTTTTTGTTCTTGTTTTTTTTTCCCAACCATATTGGTGCTCCTCATAAGATTTGGTTTGAATAAAAGGTTTTTGCCCCGTATAACTCACTAAGCTGTTCTGTGTCTTTCCTTCTCCCCAAAATGGCTGTAGCTTCCTTGGGGAAGCCTTGTTCACCCTTGGAGTGTCCATTAAGACCTAGCGTGGGACTTGCACAGAATCCTGTTTGTCACCTGTACTCACTGTGGCTCCAGTGCCTAGGGGACGAAGGCCATACTCCTACACCTGCCATTTAAGACCTTCAGCATCTGGCTCCAGCAAACTTCTCATCTCTCTTTCCTTTTCCTCTCTTCCCCCAAAGTATCCTTCTCTCCATCCACCTAGAACTTCTCTTTCCCTTTGAATGGGCCATGCCTCTGCTGAAATGTTGTTTCTTCCTCTTATTCCTGGCAAACCAGAATCAGTACAGCATGGTGGGCTCTGGAGTGAGACCACCTGGGTTTGAATCATGACTATGCCCCTTTCGATCTGTGATGCTATGGGCCAAATACTTAGCTGCTTCATGCCTCAGTTTTTCTATCTGTGAATTGGAGCAATACTAGTTCCTCCTACATTTGTTTTGAAGATTAAGGGCAAAAACACATAAACCACTTAAACCAATGTCTGGCACATAGTAAATGCTCAATAAATGTAGGCTGTGGTGATGGTGGTGGTGGTGGTGATGATGATGATGATGGAGCAGAAGGAGGAGGGCATGATAGTGGTAGTGATGACAGTTTTTAAAGACCTTCTCTGTGAAGTCTTTTTCAGCTTACTAAGTAGGATCAGCTTTTCCCCTCTGGGCTCCAAATAGAGCTAACCACATGGGGTCCTAATTACCTAATTCACAAGTCCGAGTCTACCTAGACTGAGAGTTCCTAGGACTAGGTCTCATCAGGAAGAATAACATCTATACTAGTACATGTCAAACTTGATACCATGTGCTTTTCTCTCCTATAGTTATTTTACTAAGATATTATTCACATGTCATAATATTTGCCCTTTTAAAGTGTACAGTTCAATGTGCAACCCCACCACTATCTAATTCCAGAACACATTAGTCCCGTGAAAAGAAACCCTGCATCCATCAGTAGCCACTTCCCAACCCCACTCCCTCATTCCCTTCCAACAACTATTCCACTTTCTGTCTCTATCGATTTGCCTGTTCCAAACATTTTGTGTAAACAGAATCATACAGTATGTGTTCTTTTGTGTCTGGTGTTTTTCACTTAACATGATGTTTTCAAGGTTTATCCATGCGTCAGCTCCTTTTCATAGCTGGATAATGTTCTATTGTGAGGATCTAGCACATTTTATATATTCATTAATTAGTGAACACTTGGGTTGTTTTGCCCATTATGACAGTGCTGCTGTGAGCACTCGTGTACAGGTTTTTGTGTGGACACGTGTTTTAATTTCTCTTCAGTATAAACCTAGTAGAGGTGTTGGGTCGTGTGGTAACTTGCTGTCCAACTTTCTGAGGAATGGCCAAACTATTCCAAAGTCTCTGCACCCCTTTACATTCCCACCAGCAGTATGTAAGGGTTTGGGTTTCTCCACATCCTCGCCAACACTTGTTTTTGTCTGTCTTCTTGATCACAGCCATCCTAGTGGGTATGAAGGGATATTTTATTGTGGCTTTGATTTGTATTTCCTAGATGATTAATGATGTTGAGCATCTTTTTATGTGCTCATTAGCCATTTATATATCTTCTTTAAAGAAATGTCTACTCAGATTGTCTCCCCATTCTTTAATTTTTATTGTTGAGTTGTAAAATTCTTTATAATGTATAATTCCTCATCAGATATATTATTTGCAGATATTTTTCCCCATCTGTGTGTGGTCTGTTCACTTTCTGGATAGTAGCCCTTAAAGCACAAAACTTTTTAATTTTGATGAAGTCCAATTTACCTCCTTCTTCTTTTGTTGCTTATGCTTTTGGAGTCATATCTAAGAAACCATAGCCTAATCTAGGTCACAAAGATGCACCATAAGCTTTTTGAAAGCAATCTTATTTTTAATAACCCTACAAGGAAAGATTAGCAGACTCATTTCACAGATGTGGAAACTAGGATGTCAAAAGCCAGCACTGGACTTAAGCCCAGTTCAGTCTGACTCTAAACCTCATGTGTATCTAACTGTGCCTCTGCCCAGGTCCCTTGACCTCTGAGTCCCTCACAGGGCTTGGCACAGGTAGGCACTGGTGGTCAGTAGGCCCACAGGTAATGAACACCGGATAGATGAATGGTAGGTCCTAACAGGTGCTCAGTCTGAACTTGCTGGTTAATTTGAATGGATGGGGGTTTGCTGCTGACAATGGGTTTGTGTCTGCAGTGCTAGAGGTCACTGAGCATCTCTCCCCTCTCTCACCTCTGCAGTGTCTCATCGTTGGGGGAGGACCATGTGGCTTGCGCACTGCCATTGAACTTGCCTACCTGGGGGCCAAAGTGGTCGTGGTGGAGAAGAGGGACACATTCTCCCGGAACAACGTGCTGCACCTCTGGCCTTTCACTATCCATGACCTGAGGAGCCTGGGAGCCAAGAAGTTCTATGGGAAGTTCTGTGCTGGCTCCATCGACCATATCAGTGAGTGGGGCCAATGGTGGCATCCCATGAGGGGTGGGGGCTGACCTTGGTAAGCATCTGTCTATACTGAGGAGTCCCCAGAATGTTCCACCTTGAAAGTCCCTGGGGGCTCCGCACATTCAACTGGCAGATATTTAGTGAAGGGCCTGCCTTGTGCCATGGGCCAGGCCCTATGTGATGCCCCACTAGCCTGTAAGAACCATGAGGTCAAGGACTGTAGCATGTCTTGCTCATCAGAGTATCTCCAGAGCATAAAAGAGTGCTTGACACATAGTAGATGCTCAATAAACTCCTGTTGCATGAATGAATGAATGAAATATGGAAAAGTGAGGTAGAGGTAAGTAACATGGTCTATACTCTTAGAGAACTCACCAAGGTTTTGTCAATAATAAAAATGTACTTTAATAGAGTAGTCAGACTTGCTAGAGGAATTCAGATGAGCGAGCCACACAAAACCATTAAATGGGCTGAGTTGTTGAAGGCCTCTTGGGCAAAGGAGTACTGCAGATTCTGGGAAGCCATAGAAGCTTTTAGAACAGAGGAATGATGCACTGGACAGGCCCCATACTAGGTTTCCTTGAACTTCCATAAGAGAGAGGGCATCATGATGGGATTGCGTTCAGAAAAGGATGGAGGGGAGAGGACATGGATTTCAGGTCCTGGGCCATCCCTGCATGCTCAAGCCTGGGTCTCTGGAGGCAGAATCCATGCACGGATTTTGGGAGGGCAGCCTCCTCCTCCCGTAAAGGGTGGAGGGCTTTAGCCATTTTGTATATAGCAACTATGACTCGTAAAAGATAAGGAGGTTAATACTGTGGGAAGAGTTCAGGGGTTTGAACAGATTTTGGTCCAAAATCTGTCTCATTCATTTTTCTGTGTGACTTGGGTCAAATTCCTTCTTCAAGCTTCAGTTTTGTCTCCCATAAATGTGATTAATGTCTGCCTACCAGGGCTGCAGAGGGGACTAAATGAGGTCAGGTTTTTAATGTGCTTATCACTGTGCATGGTGCATGGTAGGTACTCAGGAAATGCTTAACATCTCATGATGTACAATGAGCAAGAAGCAGCCAGAGTCCCCAAGCTTCAGAATTCAGAATTTGAAACATAGGTGGGAGGAGAACCCTGAAAACTGTTTTTATGAGGACAAGAACTAATTGGAAATGGTTATGGGATTCAAGTGGGAATGACTGGAAGAATTCTCAGCTACACTGGGTATAATTTAGTGCCAGATACAGGAGAACTCAGCAGTAGTGGCTCCAGAGTTTATTCCCACTCCGAGATGAGGAAATTCCATGAATCCATTGGAAAGTAATTTGGATTCGCCCAGAAAGTTGCAGTGTCAGCTTCCAGGACATTCCCTACCACCCATGGAGAATGAGTGTTGGTTACCAATTTAGGGCAACGTTGAGCACCACTTTCTCATCAGAACCTCCTGAGTGGCACAGCTGGGCACAGGGGGCCCTTGTGAGGGCCCAGGGCTATTGGGCTGCCTTTTAGGCCAGGAGCCCCTCTATGCCCCATTGAGGGGGCTCCCAATGAACTCATAGTCCTTGGAAACATCCCAGTGTGCAGAAACACTGGCAGGATTATGGAACTGAGATTCAAGCATTCATAGTAATCACCGTCAAGGGGAGCCCCAGTACCTGTGAGAAGGGAAGCAGGGAGAATTTATTGAGCATCTACTATGTGCTGGAAACATATAGGAACTTAGAAACTATAAGGAGAGGCCAGACCTCCTCCAATGCCTGTTTTCAGGCAGGAGGTAGATTGGATTATTTAAGCCCCAGCTAATTGGCATCCTTTCTGACTAACCATGGCCTCCAGCTCCAGCTGTGTTCCGGAGCTCAGCATTGCTCAGCAGTTCTCAACTTGTCCTGTGTCAGCATCTTCCTCCAGTTCCCACCATGGGTGTTCCAAACCTCTACCACAGCCTCCTCATTCTTAGCAGATGGCCTCCCTGCTATGCTCTGGGGAAGAGCAGACACAGGCAGGAACTCCCCATGCCTGCCCCCCCTCCTTCCTCCTCTACCCAAGGGCCCATTCCTCCCTTTCAACCCAATGTCAGAGGCAGAGTTGACCACCCCCAACTCTAGTCTCTCTTGGATTCTTTCCCTCCTTTTCACCTGCCCCATCACTTAGCCTTCCTGCTTCTGACCTCACACTCCTCCTCTAGTTCTTTGTTATTTCCTATTACTTTTCTTTACTTCATAGTATTTATTCTAAAAAGAAGAGATGTAGACTTTGTCTATACTTTCCACTCATGCCTCCTTCCATTGCAGTGTGATTTCTCCCCTACCACTGAGCTCAAGAGATTTCCACCAAGGTCTTCAGAAGCTCCCTAACTCCCAGGTGCCCGGCCTCCTGCAGTCTTCCTATTCCTTAATCTCTTGGTGGGATGTGGTGTTCTTGGCCTGTCCTCTCTTAGCTTTCAGGACTACAGCTCAGGCCTGTTCTGCTACTCCTCTTCCCCTCAACCACCATGCCCTGCCCCATCCTGTTTACCTGTGTTTCCTCCATTAGAGGGGGTATTCTATATCTCTCAGACCTAGCATGGCACCTGGCACCTTGAGTACTGAACCTTGAGCACCTTGAACATTGTAGATGTTCAATAAGTGTTAAGTGAACAAAGCCCACGAAATACAAAGGGGGACCCACAGGAAGTTTGAAGCTGTACTCTACAGAAACATATTTTGAGGCAAACCTGTTTTTGCTGAATAGTAGGGGAAAAAATAGAGAAACAAGTGCCACACATTGCGGGAGTTTCAGAAAGTGGGTAGGAAGCAGAGAACTCTAAACCCAGCTTTGTGGAGAGAATTGCGCTCCCCACCCCTTACCCCTGGTGGCTGAGAGCTTAGGCCTAGGCCCCCAAAGAATGAGCCAGTTGTTATTCTCTCTCTCTCCCTCCCTCTCTCTCTCTCCCTCCCTCCCTCTCCTTCCCTCTCTCCCCCCACCTTCTTTCCATCTTTATCTCATCAGACCCACAGCCCAGGGAAGAGAGAGCCTTTATCATTATAGCATGTCTAACAGACACAATACAGTCTTAGAGTCAAACAAACCTGGGTCCACATTCTAGTTTAAGAATGCACAAGTCACTTAACCTCATTAACCCTCAATTTTTCATTTATAAAATGAGAATAATTATCCCAAAGGGCCACTGTAAGGGATAAATCAGAAAACACTGTAAGGGTTAAATGAGAAGACACAGAGTACTTGGCACATAATTAGCACCTAGTAATGATCATTACTGATATACTGTAATGCTCAGAGATCATTGAGCAGGGACTATATAGTATTCTATATACAGGACACACCTAGGCATTGCTTTTGACAACTCATCTTTCTTCCCTTCCTTTCTAACAGGTATTCGTCAGTTACAGCTCATCCTATTCAAGGTGGCCCTGATTTTGGGAGTTGAAATCCATGTGAATGTGGAGTTTGTGAAGGTTCTAGAGCCTCCTGAAGATCAAGAAAATCAGAGTACAGTATAACTTTCTTCTTCTGGAAATTATATTAAAATGGAAATTATATTTGCAGCTCTCAGAGGATGTTTCTGTGACAATTATTCTTATTGGGGGCTGTTTGGCATAATTTCATTAGCGGATATTTTCCTTTTTTTGACCATTGCTATCACTTTAGGTTTGCTCTTCAGCTCCCAGGGGATATATTGGTAAGCCATTAAACCTGTAATTTGACTACTCTGCCACTAGGAGGTGGTACTTTGACAAATGAAGCCAAATCAAGAAGTAGGATGGAAGACAGATTTGGTTGTCTGATAAAATTCATTCACATGCTCTTCAACCTGCTTGTGTGCACACATAGATGTGTACATACACTTGTACCCATATGTTATATTTAAAATCCAGTAAAGAAAGTGAAGTGTCTAGAGCAAATATTAAATAAATATTCAGAATATTATTTGGCATATAATATTTTAAGCTTTATTGAAGTATAATTTACAAATCATAAAATTCACCCATTGTACTTATGTCTTATTTAGTTATTCCCCCCCTTTCTTGAGTATTTTATCTAAGGTCTGATTTTGTATACACTATGGTCAGAGTGTTTATTCATGATGCCTCTGCATCTTATCATCAGCATTTTGTATTGCTTGGACCAGGCTTTCAGTCTTGAGCCAGATAGTGTTGGAGAACTCATAGTTTCACACACAGGCTACAACTCTGATTTCTCCTGCATCTGGCAGCCCAGGATATTGAGAACTTAGGGGAGGCATTAGTTGGTTTTTTGTAGCTGGGCATCCATTAAAATTTCGGAGACCTGTGGGCTCTTAATCTTTCCCAGACCTCCAGCAGATGTTAAATTCTAGCTATGAGTAACCATCAGGGTTTCACCTGAAAGTGGTTTCATAAAAGACTGTGTGCTGCACAATGGAATATCTTGGGCATAATGAAGTAGCATTTCAAAATGGTTTCATCACACCCTGAGCATCCTTTTGGATCAGTTTAGCAATGGGAGAGCATTGAGAAATGTAAGGAATATAAAGAGAACATGGGAGAATCTGGTGAGACTGGTTTGAGAATCCTTCAGGGTAGACTCTCAGTCTTATAGAAACCAGTAAAAGCATGGAGTTGGCGCTGCTGGTTTACTTGGTCTTGGGTTGGACTAAAACTAAAGCCTGAAGGACTCCAGATTCCAGTGTGAGCCTGGACAGCTCCGGTCTTTCCTCTGGAGGCTCTGCCCATGGTGCCTACACCTGGGGACATAATCACTCTCTCTTCCCACTGCTCTCTGTGCCAACCCCCCTCATTTTTCTGTCCTGGTAGAAATTGGCTGGCGAGCAGAATTTCTCCCTGCAGACCACCCTCTGTCGGAGTTTGAGTTTGACGTCATCATTGGTGCTGACGGCCGCAGGAACACACTGGAAGGTGAAGACTCTTCTTCTTGGGGCTGAGGATGGGGACACAAGTGGGAGGGGGTGTAGCTGCAAGGGTATGGAGAAGAGGGGGCAAGGTGATAGGTGCCAAAGCTGGACGGGGTCTTGACGGAAGGGCAGATGGCCCTGTCCTGCCTGAGGTGAGTGTTTAGAGAACAGCCATTTAATTCTCTCTGAACCTTTTTTTTTCCCAACCACAAAGCATGGAAAATAGAACCCTGTTAGAGCCTTGTTATAAGAGCTGGGAAAGGAACCCTATTCACAAATGCTTTATGAAAGTAAAGCACCTTGGAAATTAAAAGAAAAAATCAACATACATTTATTGACACCTGCCAATGTTCCAGCCATGGTACTACACATTTCATACTTCATCTAAGATAAGCATTTTTTATACTATTACTGACATCAGTTTACTGTCAGGGATAATGCTCTAGAAGGAGAAGCTCTCCCTTTTCATAACTTTTAAGCACATTCACTGCTGGGCAGTAAGATGAGTTTTCCTCAAACTGTCAAGGTGCAAAACTGCTTCTCTGAGTTCTAAGTTTGGAAGCATGACATGTTTTCTTGGGTTAGGATCTAGTTAGGTTGAGAGAGGAACCGCATTGCTAGGGAATGCCTTCAGTCACCTCCACCCCAGCCCCACTTCACACTACCTTTGCTAATTTGAGGCCATGGGTTGTGGCTACAATGGTCCCATGTGGCATCTCTTTGACGAGGGACAGGCCTGCTTTTAGAGCTTGCCCTGCTCAAGGGCTGCAGGCTGCAGATGTCTGACTGGGAAGGCACCTTCTCTGAGGATGGAATACACTTCCTGAAACTAGGCTGATCCTAGAGAATTCAGGATATGAGGTTGGCCTGCTCAGGCCCCTGCCACCTGCTGTGCAAACAGTGCTCTTCTCTCTCATCACCTCCATATCTATTCCCCACCTCCAAAATCATAACCCATATCTGATGAAGGATATCTAAGCTGCCAACCTGGATGTTGTGTTATTAGAGATTATGGGCCATTTGAATGGTCTGAGGAAACTATAAGTCTGAATATTTGAAAATTCAGGATCTATTCTAAGCTTGAGAATAGTTTGACACTTCATGAACATGAAGGGCCAGGTGGGAAGGAGGGGACCTTTGGGCAACTTGGGACCAAGAAAGTAGACTAAATCAGGGTTTCCCAATTAGCACAGTTGGTATTTTGGGCCAGGCAATTCTTTGTCATGTGTGCTATCCCCAAGACATTGTAGGATCCTTAGCGACATCCCTGGCCTCTACCTACTAGTCACCAGTAGGACCTTAGTTGTGGCAACCAGAAATATTTCAATATTTTGCCAAATGCCCCCTGAGGGGCAAAGTCACCTGGCTAAGAAATGCTGGACTAGAGAATAATGTCCATTTCTGACCATTTTGGACAAAGGTCTAATGAAGAGTGACTCAAAGGAGTGAGTATAGAGTGGAAATCCAAGATTTTTAGTCAATGGGATTTTTAACAAGGAAGTTTGGGAATCAGCATGAGGCTTGATTATATGGTGAGGGGATGTGAGGGGAATTCCCACAGGGGACTGAAGACCAAGGTTATGTCCCATGAGTCTGCTTGTGTGAGGAGCGCCCTAAGTTAGAGTGAACAGCAGTGCCTGGGGAAGAAGGGAGATTCAGGACTCAAGGAATAGCCTGATGCTAAAGAGAAAGGGGATTAGAAAATGCTCTGTTGAGATGTGACTACCTGCTTGTGATTTTCTCTGTAACCCCCTGTGAGACTGTGGTTTTACAATAAGGAATACATATATATTTGATCTTCATCCCTTTCTTGCACAGAGCTCCCAAAGCCCTTGGGATTTCCTGAGTGATAAGAGCAATGGGAGCATCTTCTGTTATAATATTTGGTCTCTTGTCCTCAGTGCCTGAGATACCCTCAGGGCCATAAAGGTGAAATGGGTGCCTTTTTGTTCATAACAGGCCTGTTTCAATGATACCTGAGTTTATGTTAATGAGGTGACTTTTGGAAATCACCTAAAGATGGGGAGGGGACTGGTTGCCAGGGGAGCCAACAACAGGACTAGAGTGTTGGAACTCTCAGTCCCACCCCCTGACCTCCTGGGAGGGGTAAGGCAGTGGAGATTGAGTTCCATCACCACTGGCTTATGATTTACTCAATCTAGCCTAAGTAATGAAGCCTTCAAAAAAAAACTCAGAAGGAAGAGGGTTCAAAGAGCTTCCAGACTGGTGAACAGGTGGCTATTTAGGGAAAATGGCATGCTTGAGAGGGCTTAGACACTCCACACCCTTCCCCATACCTTGCCCTATGCATCTCTCCATCTGGCTGTTCCTGAGGTAACCAGTAAGTGAAGTGTTTCTCTGAGTTCTGTGAGCTCTAGAAATTAATCTAACCCAAGCAAGGGCTCCTGGGAACCTCCAGCCTATCACGGCTGGTTGGTCAGAAACATGGGCTTGCAATTGGCATCTGAGGCGGAGGGCAGTCTTGTGGGGCTGAGCCCTTCACCCATAGAATCTGATGCTACATCTGGGTGGACAGTGTCAGAATTGAGATGAATCATAGAGCCCCCAGCTGGTGTTCTGCGATTGCTTGTTGGTGTTGGGGGGAACCCACATTGTAACTGGGTATAGAATTCTTACTACCATTAAAAAGAGATTTCAATATAAACCCTTGAAAGCTATAAGAACCCCAAGAAATCACTGTACTGCGTTAATTGCAAGTTAGAATGCCATCTGCTTATTGTACATTTATTGAGTGTGTACTAAGTGCCAGTCCCTGGACTGGAGATAGAAAGAAAATTTGTTAATGTTCCTGTCCCACAGGGATTCAGTCTAAGGATCCTACTTTTCAAAGGGGAAAAAACATGAAAATGCTAACAAAGTAGTTTTAATTACAAAAGGTTAGAGTGCATGTAGGTCTTTCAGGAGGTATCTAGCAAACATGCCTAACACGTCTTTAACAGGATGTGCCTGTGACTGCTGGTTGGAGATCGTTTTAGCCTTTTGTTTGCGAAGCCTGAGCAGGAGGACGGATCCTGTCGTCTCAGACAAGCACCAAGTCTCGCCTACTTAGAAAAGCCTCTGGCGATGCATTTCCTCCTTGGGTGCAAACCTCAGCCTTGCTGCCTGCCCCAGGTCTCTAGAGATCCAAAATTCTGTTTTTACTGACCCACGGGGCATCTGAGAATAGCTTTCTCAGTAACCTTCTTCAGTTTTCACACCAAATCCAGAAGAAAGACCCACTTCTTCCCCTTTCCTTACGCAGGGTTCAGGAGAAAAGAATTTCGTGGGAAACTAGCCATCGCAATCACCGCCAACTTCATAAACAGAAACAGCACGGCTGAGGCCAAGGTAGAAGAGATTAGTGGTGTGGCTTTCATCTTCAATCAGAAATTTTTCCAGGACCTTAAAGAAGAAACAGGTGAGACTGTCACCTTTCTCCAGACCAGGCCCTCCTCACTTCCTGAAGTGCCCCATGGAGCGCCTGACTTTCCCCGGCTCTTGGGACTGGGGTGCTCACTCTAATTGAGTGGAAGCAGGGATTCCTCCTTATCTCCAAGGACAAGCGCAGTTCTCAAGGGACAGTTCCAGACATTGAATGTGACTGTGGATGCACAATTGTTACTCAGAAAACACTTGGCGAGTGCCCACTGTGTGCCGATACTGGCTAGAGTAGCATATACAGCCGAGGCCGACATGGTCCCCACCCAAAGTGGCTGCCTGTCCAGAGAGGGACACCCACATTACCCATCCTCAGGTGGGCTGGTCAGTCCGGTGGGAGGTCAGCGAGAGATTCAGGGAGCATTCTGAGGGGGGAGCCAGTAACCTGTGGGTGGTCCCTGAAGAAGTCTAGGTGACTTCGGCATTGTGCCAGGAGCCCTCCCTTCCTCCTGAGGGATGTCCAGAGATGCCAGGGAGCTTGACACTCACCCACGGGTGTCAGTTGTCCCCCAGGCATGGCCCTGAGGAAAGTATTAATTTGTTCACTCAACAGATATGTATTGAATGCCTACTAGGTACAGGAGGCTCCACACCCTGTTCAAAGGTGAGAGATAGAGCAGTGGGCCAGACAAGCAAACCCTACTCGCAGAGCGCATATGCTATAGAAAGAGACCATCCAGAAACAAATAACTAACACGCCAGGTGGTCTGTAAGGATGGTGGGGAACACAAAGCAAGGTGAGGGGAAAGAGAGGGATGAAACACCTGCTCCCAATTAAGTGAATTCCAGTCTTTTTCCTCTTTAACCCAATTTAAAAATACACATATTTCTCCTTGAAAAGACAGTGTAACAATAATGTTAAATCTTTACACTGAAAATAAATCATCCATACCTAGCACCACCTGGTCCAGAATACCCCTCATTGCCACATACTTCTTTTCAGTAATTTTTCACCTGCATGCCTACTTTTTACACAGATCTAGCTCTCCTAGTGCCAACACTCTTTGTTATTCTGCTTTTCTCATTCAGCCTGACATCTTAAACATTGTCCCTATTGCTACCCAGTGGTCCTGATGGTCAGCTTGGGCAGAACAACGCATTCAGTGGACGTATTGTCTCTGTTTAAGCATTTTGAACCATGGGCTGGTAAGATGGCTGGCCGCATGGTCTGGTATTGCCTTCATGCAAAGAATCATTTAGTGTCTTTAGATGGCTGAAGAAAAATCAAGAGAAGAATATTTTGTGACAAATTGAAAGTTATGTGAAATTCAAGTTTCAATGTCTAAAAACCAAGGGCTGTGGGCACGCAGGCACGCCAGTCTGTCCCCTTTGCTGCCCGCGGCCACCCTACCATGGGTGGTGGCAACGCAGACCAGACGGCTCACGAAGCCCATAGCACTGACCGTCTGGCCGGTCACAGAGAGTGTGCTGACTTCCGGTGCAGGCCTTTCAGTTGTTACTGTTGCAACTAAAACTGCTTCCGTGGGATTATTTTGTCAAGATAGGATTCCAGGAATGGGACTCTGCCTCTTACTGGCCCCAACAGTGGGTGCCTATCGCATGACCCTCTGAAATCCAGTGCAGTTGCAATATTTCATTTAAAAAGTATTTCCTTCCAGCATATTATGTCCCTTTGAATGATTTAAGAGTTCTCCTACCCTCCCTTCCCCTCAAAAACCAAGAAAATACATGCTTGAATAAACCATCAAATATAACTGATGATAGGACACTGAGTGTGTTTTTCCAAGAACTTAAATGAGCTTCCTTTAAACTCTCCTGTGGTCATCACCTCTGGCCATTGTTCCACATCACTGCCCCTCACACAGCCACAGTGATGAATTTCCTCCGACTCTCTGGGGGGCCTCTGCATTGATGGCCATTTCCTATTTAATAGTAATAAAGGGGTTCCTGTGGTTACCCAGCATGCCTCTGTGTTGACTGCTGATAAGCTGCCTGCATCTGTTCCTTTCCCTCCACTGGAAGGACCTAAGCCAGCGCTTCTCAAATCAGAGTCACCTGCGGGGCTTGTTAAAGCTCAGGTTGCTGGCCCCACCCCCCAGGAGGTCTGGGTTGCACCGTGGCTTTTCAATAAGTTCTTAGGTAATGCTGATGCATCTGGCTGGTGTCCCCACTTAGAGGACCACTGAGCTCAGCTGTCATCTCACAACATTGTTTTAAATGCAGAAGTCTAGTCTCTAAAGTGTTTTTGCGATTGGTGGAAAGTGAAGAAAGGTACGACCCAGCCCTCTAACCTGAGTTGCTCCTCCCAGGGAATCTGGGTGTTCACATAGCCAAGAAATGGTAGAAACACCACTTAGCTGCATTCACCTGGGTAAATTCTGGCACTTGGTCTTACCTTTTCCAGTCGCGTATGTCTTAAAACCTCATCCAGTGTGGATATGCTGCAGGTAAATAAAGGGGTGAAGTAGAGCTCCTGGCACAAAGCAGATCCAGGCACCGTAGAGGCAGTACTGAGTGTGGGAACGCTTCTCTTTGCAGGAATTGACCTGGAGAACATTGTCTACTATAAGGACTGCACCCACTATTTTGTCATGACCGCCAAGAAGCAGAGCCTCCTGGACAAAGGCGTCATCATTAACGTATGTACCTCTTAGCTGCTCTGCCCTGTTTTCCCTCTGTGACCTGCGCTGGCAGCACCGGCAAGCACAGGCGGGCACCACCCTGCCAGAAACTGAACAAGGGGGGCAGGGGCAGGGACCCCCGAGCACCACTTTCCTTCTCCTTGGTTTTGTGTGACTGTTGGGTGAATGAGCCCACAACTCTACATACAGAGGTATTTCTGCAGAGACCTGGGGGCTGGGGGTGGGGCTGAGCCCCTAACCCACGTGTTAGTGTGGGTCTTGACCCCCAAAAGATCACCTGAGTCTTCTTCTTCCCCATGACTCACTCAGATGTGCCCCCTTTTCTGGGAGGCCACGGTCATTTGGAGGCAGACAGGGGCTTCTCGTCCTAGCGGGACAGAGACACTTTTGCTTATGAATTCCGTGATGTAGCCCCCTTGTCATGGTGTGGGGGGAAATCTCTTTTGGTTGAAAGGCCTGTGTTGAATCTTGGCTGTGCCACCTATTAACTCAGGACTGTGGCTAAACTGCCTTACCTTTCTGAGCCCCAGTCTCCTCATCTGCAGAGTAGGAATCACAGTTTCTGTCTGAAAGGGCAGTTTGAAAGAGCACATTTGAAAACGTATACAGAGCGCCTAGCACCCTGCCCAGCATGTAGTAGATTGTAGATTCTCCCGATAACTTCTCCGCCCACTCTGGACACCTGCTATTTTGTCCTGCTGGCTTCCTGGCCTCTGCTTCCTGCCTCTGCATTTTCCTGCTTAACCAGATAGAAGGGCTGGCAGGAGGGCGCATTGAGTGGCAGGTCCTGGGCTAGAAGCTTGTTTGGCCAGGTGTCTGACCTTTCCAGAGCCCCTGCTCTTGCCACTGTTGCTGCTGTAGCCTCAAGATAAGGATCGAGCAGTCCAGGGTCAGCCTGCTCTCTGGCATTGGCCAACAGCCCGGATGGCATGGTGACCATTCACTGCTGCTTGTCAGGGAAGAATGTGCCGATGTCCTTGCCAGCTTGTGCTGGCAGCAGCCGGCTGGTAACCCAGCTCTCCCCTGGGCCTCCTCCACATTGGTCAGGTCTTAGCTGAAAACCGAAGTTGCTGGAGGGGAGGAATGAATGAGGGAGGGGGGTTGTATGAAGCTGACTGAGCACCACCAGCAGATGTGTGAGCGGTGGGCTCAGCATCTGGTGCCCTACTGGTGACTGGGTCTAGGGGAGGCAAGGAGGTGTCCCCTTCTTTCCTCCGCTCCACAGATGTTTCTCCCAAAGTTGTAACCTCTGTTGGGATGCTGATGGTGGATAGAGAAGAACTATTTGGGGCTCAGGAGTGCAGGTGCGGTGGGCACCTTGGCAGGCTGGGGGGCGGGTATTTGTCAGCCTCTGGGGCATTAGGCACAGTGTGACTTGGATTTCCCACTTCACTGGCTGAGCACTCCAGCCTTCTGGGGTGCTGTTGGCCTCGAGTCATTCCCGGGCATTTTCCCAGGCCACAACATGTTTATGGTGACTCTATTCCTTGGCCGTTGTCAGAAACCTTCCATCTCCCATCTCAGGCTCTCCATCGTAGCACAGATGGGTCAGAGTGACTCACACTGGGCCCACATATCATAACCATGAGGACCTGGGACCAGATCCCAAGCCCACACTTGTCCTCATCAAGGCCTTTCTTCTCCCTCAGAGACTCTGGAAGCATATTCTGAGCTGGTGCTGAGGGGCCTCTAGGTGTAAGGCATGAACTCTTATCTAGAAATTGAAGGTCATGGCTGGACATGGGAGAACTGGACACCTATTTGGTTCAGGAGCTCTGGCCTAAGTCTCCAGGGGTGCAGCTTAGCTCTGTAGTATTTGCATAAACTGGGAGCTGTACTGCCTATCCTGAGCCACTTGAATTAACATTCATCTTGCTCCTGAAGGAATGGCAAATCCTCTCTGCTTCCCTCTCCCTATATGGGTCCACATCTTCCCAGAGGCACACAGAAGGTGCTGAGAGCATGTTTGTTGAGTGACTGATCGACCTGCTTCCCCATCTATTCCTGCTGATCTCTGGGTTTCTTTCTATGGCTGCTGAAGGGAGAAGAAGGTTTCTCCTCAAGAAACCATGCCTCTGGGCTCCCAAATGTGTCCACTTTGCTCTCCCCCATAGGGAGGGTGGCCAACCCCCCAGGGCCCTGCCTCTGCTGGCCCACACACACTCAGGCTAGGATTCCAGGATGTGGTGGGCTTGGTCTCACCACAGTGGGAGCTTGGTTGCCGGGTGCTTGAGGGGGACGCACATCAGACCTGTTCTCCCAAGGCTGAGCCCACCCTCATTCGAAGTGTGAGGCAGGCACTGCCTGACCTTTGCTTCTGGCCCACAGCCTCTTCCCAGCTCAATGCTCTGCGTGACTATTCCTCCTGCTGATCACCCCCCTCTGCTCATTTTTGCTGCTTCCTTCGACTGCCTCACCTGTCTCTTTAGCATTCAGCCTCCCTGCAGTACCTTAACCCTATGGAGAATGGGACCCAAATTCATTCCCCATTATTATCTGAATTTAGAACTGCTTCCCCAGGCCTGCCCACTTTCTTGAGATCCTCATTCCCACTGTTTTCTTTCTCATCCTTGTTTTCAACCCCTCCCTGTGGTTCTGCTTCTGCCATCAACCCACTCACCTGGGACCTTCTGCCCTGCAGGGCCCATGGCTCCTCCCAGCAGGCCCAGGCCAGGTGGGCCATCATCCCACTGTAACCCTGGGGGCCTGTCATTTTGCCAAGTCCCCACATTCTTGCTTGGGGCATTAGCACCAGCCATTGTGCTGTGTCTGCATTCACCTGTCACCTGGTTCACCGCAGGGGTCCTCTGAGCATGTTTTGAAGAGGGGGCTTTTTGAGGCTTGTCATTCATTTTTCCCTACCTTATCGCCACAACTTCAAGGGGAGGAAGTGATCACGTAACTGTAGGCACAGGTATGAGAGAGGAAATCAAATAACCGGAGCTCTAGCCTGGACACGTGACCTGACAAAGGGCTCCTGGGCCAATGCTGATGCAATCTGAGTGACGAGGTTTGGGTGTGGAAATATTAGCATTCCTGGGACACGGTGTTTGAAATCGTGGTTAATTGTTCCAGTAGGTCACAAAGCTTGTGGATGAGACTGTGCCTTCTCAGACCTTTGTAAATGCTCTTGCTGGTGCAGGTGGTGCATCCAGGCTGCATTTCACCATATACTGCATTTCATGCTGTCATTATTGGGGACAGGAATCCCATTCATCAAGCACTTCCAATGTGCCAGGCATCAGGCTGGGGGTTTTATACGGTCTCATTTGGTCCTCACACAGCTCTGTGAACTAAACTTTGTTATTCTTATTTAACAAGTAAGAAAATGGAAGGTCAGAAGGGTTTAATAACTTGCCCAAATGTACATAATCAGTAAACAGCAGCTGTGGGGTTTGATCTGTTGTTCTCAATAGCCCCAAGGCCTGTGTTGGTCTCATACACACGAGTCCCTGTGACCTCCCAGGAATGTGCACCTTCTGTGTCACCTTTTGGGAAATATAGTCTTTTAGTTCCACAGGATGAGCACATTTGAGTGTGGGAGCCAGGTGTCCCACAGTTCATGGCCCATGTCCCTCCAGGATAGGGACCCTGGTCCTATAGGCTCGGGTATCTCACCCCCCGGCAGGAAGTGTAGCGGTTAATATGTGAGAACAGAGCAGGGCTCTGCATGCCCTCAGCCTGTTGAGAAAAGGGGTCACTGATTTTGGAGAGAAAGTTTGAATTATGTCCAGCACCCATTTCTTCTCTGATCTTGTTTGACCACTAAACACAGTGTGTCTAGACCACATTAGTTTAGCTTAGTTCACTATAAAATCACTCTTTTCTCTTTCAGTTTAACTGACATTATCATGAGAAACAACCATACGAAATACGCTTCTATGCTTGCAGCAAGACCATTATTATGTGCACTGTTCATTACAACACAATGTTCTCTGTTGAAATCCCTCCGTGAGACAGTTCTTTCAGAACTTAGTGCCAGGAAAAAATTGCCTTCCCTAAAGACTTTCTTTGCTTCCTTCTTTCTGATAAGGAGAGACCTGCGATACATCACATTTCCCTTTTGCCTTGGGTGCCAGGAAGCTCAATGCCAAATTTCATGTTTAATCACAATTCTGTCAATCCTCACAGCTAGCTGATTTCATTCCTCTTTCTTCCCTTGGCCAATTTTCTAATTTCTGTTTTGATTAGCTTCACCACACAAACCCCACTCCAAGTCCTTCTGCGAAGAAGTAGGTGTGAACCCTTGCCCCGCAGAGGGGCAGGTTGCTGCACTGTGCTCCTGTTCTTCCCCCCCAGGACTACATTGACACGGAGATGCTGCTGTGTGCAGAGAACGTGAACCAGGACAACCTGCTTTCCTATGCCCGAGAAGCTGCAGACTTCGCCACCAATTACCAGCTGCCATCTTTAGACTTCGCCATGAACCATTACGGGCAGCCTGATGTGGCCATGTTCGACTTCACCTCCATGTATGCCTCGGAGAACGCGGCCCTGGTGCGCGAGCGTCAGTCGCACCAGCTGCTCGTGGCCCTGGTGGGCGACAGCTTGCTTGAGGTACTGCCTGCATTTGGAGCCTCCTCGCTCCTGCTGGAAGACAGATCTCTGCATTTTTGTTGGGCTGCAGCATCTGCTGTCATGCAGCTGGGGAAGGGCAGGCCCTCTGCCAGTTGGGAGGACTCTGCCAAGCCCATTCTGGCCTCAGAGCCTGCCCTTGTGCTAAACTCAGAGGAGCTGGTTCTTTCTGTATCAGCCAGAAAGCTTTCTCATCCACCTCGGGTTCTTATGGGCTGACCTCTGCGTTGAAGTACAAACTGAGGTGGCCTGATCTAGACTTCCTGGCCATCTTTCTCAGCGCATGTGGGACCTCAGCTGGGCCAGGATTCCTTCCTCACGTGGGTGGATCTTTGTGGCCTTTCAACACTGAGATCATGTCGGATGCAAGAAAGGCACAAGGGCTCTAAGTCCAGTTTCCGTTCGTGGCCTCCCTGCTCAAAATTCTTCCCAGAAAACTGGCAAATGCTAGGATCCTTAGGTTAATCAAATGCTTTCAGAAGGGATACATTTCCATCTTTAGTGTAAGCACTAACCAAAATATGTTTATGTGTATTTATTCCAAGTTAAGCATCAAATTCTAAACTCTGCTTTGGGTGTGCACGGGACAGTTGAGTTAGAACCAAGCTCGGTGAATGAATCCTTGCTCACCCTTGTGTGTAGACTGTAACCTAAGTGCCCAGCACTCAGCACCCCGCCCCCACGCCCCCCTTCTCAGCTTGGTCTCGAGTACTCCCCTCTGTGATCTCTGCTCTACCCAAACAAGACGGACTCGTCTCCCATCAAACTCTGTTGTCTTCCAGCCACCAAGACTTTGCCCACTATTCCCCCCCGCTATTTGTGCATGGATTAAAATGAGAATCCTAACCATTCTTTAAAATGAGCATAAATGCAACTCTTTTATGAAGCATGCCCTATTCCCCCCCCCCCCCCAGGGTGAAGAGTTTGCCTCTGCCTTTTTTGGGGCCCCACAGTGGTTTCATTGTTCCTGTCTCATAGGACCTTTACACATGGCTTGTGCTGCAGGTGTTTGTATTTGTGGGGATCCCTAGTGGGCTGCCCCTGTCACCTCTGTATCCCCTGTAGTGCTTCTAATGGGCCTGGCAGTCAGAGAGGGCTGGACAGAGGGACAGCAGGCCAGGAGTCGTTAGGACCAACCCAAATTCCGCGCATCTTCCTTTTCAGCCCTTTTGGCCCATGGGCACAGGCTGTGCCCGAGGCTTCCTGGCTGCCTTTGACACGGCGTGGATGGTGAAAAACTGGGACCAGGGCACTCCTCCCCTGGAGCTGCTGGCTGAAAGGTAAGCATGGGCAGCAGGGCTCCCAGCTGAGGCAGAAAAGGGAGCATGGCTGGCTGTTAGGTGGCACCTAAAGGAAGCCTCGGGTTCCTCTCATCTGCCTTCCCACATGTGGCTTGCTTGATCATCGGGGCGCCCCGAGGAAACTTTCTCCATCATGATCTACCCCCTCCGGGGACTTTCTCTGGGGGCTGTAGCTCCTAGGTACCAAGGAGAAACCTTCATCCAGGGTGGCCCTGGAGTTGGGGTCTGGCACTGCTCAGTTGTGAGGGAGCCTGAGGGGCTTTAGCGGGGGAAGCTTCCATACTGGCCCAGGTGCTGAGTGCCCTGCTCTGTTGCAAGCTGGGTTCTCTGATCCATCCCCCCACCCCCACCCCAGGCCTCTTCTGCTGCTAAGATCCTGGGCTTCCTCCCAAAACCCTGCTGTTGGCCACGTGGCTGTGACAGCTGGTGGGCTGGGAGAAGTCAGGCCTGGAGGGTGGGGACAGGCCTTTGCTGGTCTTGGGTGTGGAGGCCTGTGGTCATGGGGGACAGGCCACAGGAGGCCGAGTGGCTAAGTGGCGTTTATAGCAAAACCATGGGTCACTGAGCTTCCAGCTCTGCTTGGGGAGGTGGCCAGCATCCCTGCCCCCTCTCAAACCCCCTGACCTCCTTCCTGCCTTCTCTCTGCCTTTTTGAACTTTCCCCACTTTGCAGATCTCAAGAACCACAAGGGCCAGGCATTTCAGGGGAGGGTTAGACAAGCACATCTGAAAAGCCCTCAAGAGCAGGAGAAGGGGAGTGGGGGTGGGGACAGAGGCCTCGGGCTTCAAGAGCAATCCCTGACCCCGGGCTCTGCCTCCCTCCAGAGAAAGTCTTTACCGGCTGTTACCTCAGACGACCCCAGAGAACATCAACAAGAACTTCGATCAGTACACGCTGGACCCGGGGACGCGGTACCCAAACCTCAACTCCCACTGTGTCCGGCCCCATCAGGTGAGTCCTTCCCTGGGGCCTCCTCTGGGTAACCCAGCACTGAGCGGTGGGAAGGACGGGTTGCCTGAAATCTTCACACGTCCCTGGGACCACGGCCACCAGTCCCTCTTGTCCCCAAGGTGAGACCAGCTCCCCTCTATAGGACAGTCACACGAATAGCGTGGAGTCCGAGTCTCCCTAGCCCACCTCACAGGGGAGAAATGGAACACATGTGTTTGTTTGCATGTGTACATGTATTTACATGTGTTTATTTGTCATCATTTGTGTGTGTTGCTAAGCCCCACATGAATGGAAGCCTACCTCTCTCAAAATCTTTGGCTGAATATCGAGTCCTTTCCCTCACCATCCTAGCATCCACTGTTTTTCTCCCATTGACTGAGAGCCGTACAGCCTCTTCTGTCAGTAGCAGAGTGGTGTGGATTTTAAAAATTAGCCAGTGAAGTGTATTTACACTCCAGTGCTTCCACATCTGGGGGGGATAGTGGAGACCCGTTGCTCTGTGTCTCAGGTGGCCTGGGTTTCCTTGCTGAGGGCCCAGTGGTAGAGGAAAAGGGTGGCCAACACTGAGTAGAGAGTAGGTCAGGTGCAGAGGGCCTGAGGCTAGAATTTGGAGAACGTGTGGGCAGCTGTGCCGTCTCTCTTGCTTGTAGGTGAAGCATTTGTACATCACTACGGAGCTGCACCAGTTCCCTCTCCAGAGGCTGGGCTCAATGAGGAGATCTGTGGGCCTCTCCAGGCATGGTAAGCAACCTCCTCGGGACCCCAGAGAACTCCGCCAGCTGGACAGAGGGCACAGGCCCTGCATAGAGCAGCCTGGCTCTGCTCCGATGACCTGATGACCTTGGCCAGGCCTCTGTACTCCAGTTTCCTCTTCTGTAAAAGCAGGACAGTGACACCCCTATGGCATACTCATCATAAAGGGGTAAAAATGTGTTGAGCATCTCATACATCAAAGTGAGCTATGGAATGACTTCCCTGGGACTTGCTTTACTTTCCCTTCTTTCCAGTATGGGGGTCTCGTCTCCCCAGCTAGACACCCTGCATGTGCTGATTTCCAGGCATGGCATAGTGCTGGGTGCAAGGCCAGTGCTCAGTAGCAAAGGGAAGGGGCAATTACATGCATAAGTCCCCGGTATCCATGGCTTTGCCCAGGTCACTCTCCTGCATCCTCCCTGCCTTTGGGCCAACTCGGCCTACTAGCCCCTTCCCTTCCCTGCATACCCGTGTTCCCTGCTGCCACCCCACCACCAGCAGGCCACACAAACATGGCAGGGTCCCTCACATCTGTACCATGGCACAGACCTTTCCGTTTTCCTGTAATGCCTTCTTCTGTCCGATGAATCACTAGACACTTCAAGAAGCAGCTCAACTGTCCCTCCTTTGTGACTCTCTTTGGCAAGTGCCCCCACTGTGGCAGACTCAGGGCAAACCTGCTCATTTGCTCCCCCAGCACGCCGCTCCTCCGTCATTGCGGCACAGTGTCAAGGTCACCTGCCTCTGTGCTTGCCCCATTGGGTGCGGTATTGGCAGAGTCCATGCTGTCCTCACCTCTGTGTTCCAGAGGGGGTCTTAGGGACTCTTTGCTGTAGGAGAGTATGCTTCCTATCCCAGCATCCCACCCTCCCACTGTGCTCTGGACAGGACTTCTTGCCTTGGTGCTGTTCCTCTTGGTCCCCAGCCATGGTGGCAGTTGGAGAGGGGACCCTGGGGTTTCCCCAGAGCACTACACTGTCTGTCTCCCCTTACTGCAGAATCAGACATTCGGCCCAGCAAGCTCTTAACCTGGTGCCAGCAGCAGACTGAGGGCTACCAGCACGTCCACGTCACGGACCTGACCACCTCCTGGCGGAGCGGCCTGGCCCTGTGTGCCATCATCCACCGCTTCCGGCCTGAACTGATGTGAGTCTGGGGCCCAGGCTGGGCCTGCCAAGCTCCTCCAGGGGGACCCTGGAGACAAGGGAAACCAGGGCTGTTCTACTAGATGCAGAATCTTCAGAACTTGGTTTAAAATTTCTCTTTGCACATTTTCGATTTGTTTTTTCTTGTTCTTTTTTTTTCCCCCTTTGCACTGATTAATCAGCCCACAACTCATTTGATCTGTGTTCTTAACATGTGAGGAGCAAAAGTGACCCAGGCAAGGCGGTTATACTTGCCTCCCCACCCCCTCCATCGCCACACTTGGGGAATTTGAGCATCTTCACCAGGGAGCTCTCCCCTTGAGGCAGGAATTATGGGCAAGACGTACTTCTGGGGGACTGTGTGAAGGTTTACAGTCAAAACATTAGATCTGAGACCCAGAGTGGTTAGCTGCGTACCACTGGGCAGGCTACTTACCTTCTCTGAGTTTATTTCTTCATTTATGAATTGGGAATAACGTCAAGTTCATTAGGAAGATTGAATCATGTTGGTGGAAATACCTTGTGATGTTGAAAGCACAATGCACCTATTGATGCTGCATTTAAATCAGCGTGTGCAGTGCAACCTCACACCCATGAGCACATTCCTCCGAAGGGCTGGGACGAGACCTTCCGAAGGGTTATCAGTCGGGGCCTGCAGGAAGGGAGGTCACCTTGAGAAGGGGTGGGACTCTCACTTACTACTTTACACGTTATAAGTAACTTGACTCTTTTTGTTACAAGAAGTCCATGTTGGTCTTGTCATGGAAAGAAAAAGAACATAAGGGAATTTGAAAGTAAAGTAGCTCACACGTTTCCCAAAGTGGTGTAAATCATTTTCGGATGTTTCTCGGCGCAGGCAGCAATGACATTATCACGGCCCGAATCTGGTTTTGTCCCACCCTGAGTGAGCAGGACAGTGTTCGCGTCTTCTGACCGAACCTCCCGGGGAGCAGGGTGTGGGGTGTGATTTGGGACAAAGGTTGGGGTCACTACTCCTTCGCCTCCCATCTCTGCCTCCCCTGTCTGATTTCCACCTTGTTTTGATTCTCTAGCAACTTTGACTCTTTGAACGAAGATGACGCTGTGGAGAACAACCAGCTGGCATTTGACGTGGCCGAGCGTGAGTTTGGCATCCCCCCAGTGACCACGGGCAAGGAGATGGCGTCAGCCCAGGAGCCTGACAAGCTCAGCATGGTCATGTACCTCTCCAAGTTCTACGAGCTCTTCCGGGGCACCCCGCTGAGGCCTGTGGGTAAGGACCTGCTTCTAGACCAGGCTTCACTCTGCCCTTGAGTCATTTCTGCCCTATGCCCATGTCTGGCTGCTCTTCACACTGGTGTCTTCTGAGATTGACCCACGTCTTCCCTTTGCCTTGAGGCCGAACAGGGGCGGGCCCCACCCACCCAGACCCATGGATATCAGTCGGTCCGTGTGCGGTGTCACATGACGTTGGGCCCCTGCCCCTGCGTTGGGAGTCTCTGACAGAGCTGCACCAGCTCCCCACCCAGGCCATTTACATCTTTAGTCTGGGGGAGAGAATTATTTTGGAGGGATCTTGCAGCAAAGAGACCCCTGAGCCCTTGGGTAGCTGTAGTAGGATCCAAAATTCATTCATTCTTTTACTTCCTAACAGACTCTTGGGGCAAAAACTATGGAGAAAATGCTGACTTCGGCGTGGCCAAATCATCCCTCCCTCACAACTATCTCAACCTCACGTTTCCCAGGAAGAGGACTCCACGAGTAAGTCTGGGCTTGTTTTTTGTTTAATTCCTTTTTGCACACGCGTGGGTCAAGGGGATTGGAGAAAGTCCTGCTCTTGGTCTGTTTCTGCTGATAAATTACACAGGAAGTGCTCGCAGGAGACACAAGTGAAATTCAGTTTAGCAACCGAGTGTTTTGGAAGTTTCCCCTGGCGTTTTCTGGCTTGCCCCGCTTCAGTGGCTTGAAAGTGGTCATAGGGAAGGTCATGGTAGATCAGCTCTACCTCCTAAGAGGGGAAGAGGAGAGACTTTGTCACTTTGTTAAGCAGTTTCTTTAGATCAGGGACACAGTGGCTGTTCAGTGGCAGGGGTGTATGGTGATGCTACACCCACACAGTCTGTTCTATTCATTTTTAAAATTCAACAAATGTTTACCAAGCCCTACTGAATGCCACCATTAGGGCTGAACTTCTTGTTTGATTTTGATGAGGGGAGAGAATATAAAGAGATGAATAATATATGGGCCTTGCCTTTGAAGAGCTCAGCACTGAAGAAAGAGGTTCCCAAACTCTCCTGTTATGGTACCTGAAAGTCTCTGTAATTTTTGGTGACAGTGCCCCTCGATCAAAAGAAATACCTAGAAGTTCCTCTTATTAAGTAGTTAAGTTCAAAAAACTTAGCAGGGGTATTTTGCAAGGTAGGTAACAGACTTCACCGTGCTTTCCAAGAAAATTGAAAATTGTCTGCAGCTTCTCTGTGAGTTTACCATGGTGCCACGGGTTGCCTTGGTACCTGGTTTGGGGAGTATGGACCTACTGAGAAATCATAATCTCACGTGAGTGATGGCATCTCTGCGGGAGGATAACACAAGTTGTCTTGCTGACTGTGCTCCTGGTACAGATTTTAAAAAGGAGGCCCAGGGATGGTCGGTGGCACTGAGCTCTCCCTCCCACTCCAGCGCGCAGGGCGGCCCTCCCTCGCTCGGCAGGCCTGTGCACGTCTCGGTCTCTCTGAGCTTCAGACAGTCTCCTAACCCCTGGCCAGTCATGCCATGTCCTGCCGGCCCCTCCACCCAGGGTGGGGCCGGGGCCGTGTGGCCTCCTCCCTTTCTCTCAGCTGTGTATTCTGTGGTCACTTTTTCCACTGCGGTCTGCACTCCCTGGAAGGCTGCAAGCAGTTGTGCTAACTCCAGGAGCAGGGTCGGGTGCCTAATGCCCCACCACGCCCTATATATGGGAGGGGATGGGTGAGCCAAGCAAGGCCTGTGGAGGAAGGCGTGTGTGCAGGTCTGCTGGGGTTTCCAGCAGGGCAGTTGAACGGTGAGACCCAGCTGCTCTGTCCTGCTCTGCGCCCCATGCTGCCCATCCCAGTGTGAGGGCTGCGTTGCCCACCACATGTCCCAGGAGTGAGAACTGACTTCTGGGGAGCCACCATAGGCCTGTTTCACCCCACTCCACTCATGTTTCCTCCAAAGCCCGAGGACCCCACTCTCGGCTGCCCTATCCCAGGGAAGCTGGTGTAGCCTTTCTGGAAGCTCTCTGGGCCAAGTATATACTGCCTTTCTCCATTTACCCGGTTTCTCCCACCACAACTGGGCACAGCAGGGGGAACTGGAGAGGACTGTTGAAACCTTGCACACACCACACCTCTGTTTAAAGAGTGACCGAATGGAAAGGGCCTGGCCAGCTCTGGCTCAGGAGGTGGGGCAGGTCAAAGATCAGTAGTCAGCAAGGCCAGCAAGGCCAGCCAGGCCCTCGATGGCTGCTGGGGCCTCGCTCCACTGTCTACTGGCTCTGCTGGGAGATGCTGGGGAGCAGGAATGTTCTGCCTGACCAGCCTGGACCGATTGTAAACCATGTCTGGCCCCCTCGAGGGTGTACCCAGGGGCCATCCATCTTGAGAGAAGTGAAGAGCCACAGATCTGATCCCCCCCAACAACCCCATTTAAGGCCCCCAATGTGCTCTGCTCTCCAGATAGGGAGAGAGATTATTAAGTCATTTAAGTCTCTTATTTGTCCTCTGTTAAAACCAATTGATTGCCTTCTCTGGGTGGGATGGCAAGTTAGCAAGGCCAGTGGGTCACATGCTCCCTTGGTCATCACTGAAATACACAGCAATTGTCCACTTCTCTATGCCAAGGCAATTAAACCCACAACCCTGGATGCCCCAGCTCATGTACCCTGTGGACTAGAGATGCAGGGCTGGCCCCACTTGCATGGTTCTCCACCACAAGTACACCGCAGTGTCTGCACACGGGAGCATCTGTATCCAACCGCTCCTGTTCTTCCCTGCCTCCCCCACCCCTCACCGACTGCCAGAGATGTGCTGTGACATGGGAACTGAACAGCCCACATTCGTTCACAATGAGGTATCTTAATCTGAAGAAGGTTCATTGTTTCTCTGCTGAGCCAGTTGTAAAAATATCTCTCCTTCCTAGTTTTCACTGTTGGTGTTAAATTTTTCTCTTATCCCTGATGCTGATAATGTCAAAATCCCAGCAAGGCTGACCAACATTGGTGAAAATAAGACTTTTCCCCCACCAAGGACCGTGGTGATGTTTAGAGAGAGTAATTTTCCCATCCATCCACCAAGAGGATTGTCCCTCTGGTGAGTGGTGACTATGGGGTTGATTGATTAGCTCTGAAAACTGGATAGTCCAGGCTTGTGAAAAAAAAAGCTTGAGATTATATTTTTCCCTTTTATTTTTTTATCCTCACCCAAGGACATGCCTACTGATTTTAGAGAGAAAGAGAGAAACACACACACACACACACACACACACACACACACTCACACACAGAAACATCAATGTGAAAGGGAAACATCAATCAGTTGCCTATCATACACACCTCAACCAGGGATCAAACCCACAGCCTAGGTCTGCGTCCTGACCAGGAATTGAACCTGAAACCTTTTGGTATACAGGATGATGCTCCAACCAACTGAGCCACCTGGCCAGAGCTATATTTTCCTCTTAATAAGCTCTTGGTTTGCTTGTGCAGATCTACCTCAGATCCTGGTCAGCATCTAAAAGCCTCAGGGCAAGTGACAATTCCTGGGTATTCCATGCACCACAGGGGATACCTGAACACATGTGGTCTCTGTCCTCACTCTCCTCGACCTCCCACACATGTGCAATGCCTGCATGTGCGGCCACTGCAGCCATTATACACTTTATGTTACACATGCACTCAGGTACCTGATCTTTTCCCCATTCTGAGCCCACTCCTTGGAGGACAGCACAGCATAAATGTTGTCACTTGCCCCTGAAAAGCCCACCTCAGAAGCCAGGTTAGCGGCCCCAGGATATTTATCCTGCTCGGCTGACTGACCCTGACCCAGATCTGTCTCTAGCACTGCCCCTGGTAGAGTGGAATGCACACAACTCATGCCAGTGTCTGGCCTGGACAGTCTGGGTCTCCCTCCCAACTCTCCTCTCCTTGACCCTCCTGCACAAATACTCTGCAAAGAGCCAGGGGTTGCTCTGCAAGAAAGTGCTTCCTCCACCCAACCATTCAACACACATTCACCGAGTGCCTGTTTTATGTTGTGTTCTCCTCTTGGAGCTAGGGAGTGGAGCAGGAACAAGACAAGCAAGGACCCTGCCCAAGGGAGCTGACCTACTGGAGGGGCTTCTTAAGTTCCTCTCACTCCCCTTCCCCAACTATTCTCTCAAAACAACCCACCCAGCAACCAAAGTCCCCCATGAGCTTTCTAGTACCTCTCAATTCAGAGATCAGAAGAAAAATTAGAAGAGTCAGGAGGACCAGGTCCTGATGCTGCTGGCTCAGCAAGGACAGCACCCTTGAGCAGCCCCTCCAGCCCCTGTGGTTTGCAGGCTGGTCTCCCCTGCCCCTGTACAGCCGCAGCCTGAGATTCTGCACTGACTGACAGAATGGCCATGCACGTTGGAGCCTTAGGTCTGCTGGGGGTTCACATGTTTAAACCTCTCAGGAAGTTCCTTTGCGTGTGTGAAAAATGATTATAATTACGAACATCGCATTGCTGTGAGGACACCATAAATAAATGTCTGCTGCAAGTTGGAGCACATTCTTGGGCACACAGAAGGGGCTCCGGAAATGATGGGCCATGCCCTTTGTGAGCACTGACTGAATGAGCATGTGCGTCTTCTGAAGAGATGGGCAGGGCTGGTGGGAGGGAACACTGGGCTCGGTGCTGCAGTCCTGAGCGATGAAGTGCTTCACAGAGGACGAAACAGTTGCCTGTATATCTCACTTGCCCCTTACGCTGCCTTCAGAGGAAGGCAGGCACGTGTTCTCACCCCAGGTTTGGACACAGGAAAACTCAGATGTAGGGAGGTTAAATTACAATATCATGCAGGTGGGGAATGTCAAAGTCAGGACTAGAATTCAGATTTTCTAATTTCTGCTAATGCCAATTAGCAGAACCTAAGTGATGGTGTCCAACACTTTATACTGTAAGTAGTGTTTGACACACATGGTTTTATTAGTTTTTATAACAATTTATGAGCCAGATATTATTATATCTTGTAGGTGAGAAAATTGAAGTCAGAGAAGTTAGGTGATTTCCCTAAGGTCACACAGCCAGGAAGTCACTAGTGTCAGAACTTGAACCCGTGACTTCTTACTACTCTGCCACTGAAGAAGAATAGAGCTCTCCCACCAGTGTCACCGGCCCTTTTTCCGTATCTCCTGACAGCCGCCCTGCTCAGTCCGGTCATTGCCTGCAATGGCCAAGCTCTCTTCCTGTGACCCAGATCTAAATTTTTCCAGTACTGGCTAACTAAATATAAAGTGTGTTTGCTTTGGGCCAAAATCACATTATGTCAGGCAGTATGGGAACATGTCTATTTTGTGCTGGTCAAATAAATGATCACATTGGTAGATATATATCTAATTTTTTAAAAAGTGGAGATACCAATTAGTTTAATAAATGAGTCTTAGTATGTAGACTCTTACAAATCATTGCATAATCATGGTGAGAGAGTTCAGGTGAAAGGGATGGAAAAATTAATAGGAAAACAAAGTGAGTATATTGAGTTATATACTCACAAAGTGAGTTATTGGTATATTCTCATGCTCTGTCTGAATGGGCACAATGAGTGCTTCCCTCCTCCTTGCACCCCAATCCTTGGTAGAACAATACAGAGCCCACGGAGATGGGGGCGCTGAGGCAACTTTACTTCCTAAATAGAGATATCCAGATAAGAAAATAATTGGTAAATCTCTAGGTTTGCGTTTTCTCCACTGTTTTGTTTTAACCTGGCTCTTAATTGAGAATCAGGTGAATAAACCCCCCAGGAAGGGTGGAGCCTGTTGCTGTGTGCTTGTTGCCCACCTCCCCACAGAGACATTTCACTGCCCTGAGGATCGGGTTGAAGTGGAGTAGCTGCGGTTGCCCCTCCCACTTCCTCTATTTCCTCTGAAGGACCTGGGGGCTGCTACTGGACATGCATTCCCCAGGAGTGCTTCCCACGCGCTGTGGCTAACATCCCAGGGCTGGACCTAGACAGGCCCTGGGGGTCGGAACAGTCAGGCACACCCGGGGCTGTGGATGAGAAAGAGAGGGTAAGATGTGCTGCTGTCTGAGGGAAACGCCAAGTCCTCATTCAAGGTGGCAACAAAACACAAACAGAAGACCCTCAGATTGTGCACCGAGAGTCCCACAGCGGGGAAGGACAGCCCATGTGTTCCCAGGCTGCAGTCCCCAGGCCCGCAGGGCGCTCACAGGCAGCCTGTGCCTCTGAGACCCAGCGTTGCTGCCAATAAGGTCATCTGTTTCTCTTGGTGTTTGCCCAAGTGCTGAGGCTGAAATAATTTCCACTCACAGAATGATGATTTATTGGAAGCTGAAGAAAATGTGGAAGGGAAGGCAGGGCCCTTTGATCTGTTGGTGTTTTCGCTGCCTGGGCAAGGGAAGGGTCAGAGTTTTAAACAAATATCAGTGACTAAACTCTGGCTGATCTTGTCTTTAAAAATAGTAAAGGTTCTGGTAAGCACGGGGAGGGATCGGGGTGAGGGGAGTGTAAGAACTGGGGAAGCAGGTGCTCTCTGTCGGAAGCAGGTGATCTCACAGCAGACCGTGCTAGGGACTCCAGCGTTATTGTTGTTAACTGTTACATATGGTATATTATCATGTGTTACAATAATATCCAAAATTATTAGTATTGGTCCAGAACAACCACGAGATAAAAGAATCCTCTTGTGATCAGGCAAGTTCAGGATATACGGTGCAGGTGGGGCTCCAGGCCTGGGCCGAGGGGAGAGAGTGGCCAGCAGGCCTTGCTACTGCATCCAACGTGGAACAAAGGCCAGATTTAATCTGGGCCTGTGACAGTGGCCCTCTGAGGGCAGGGAGGCGCCCAGCAGGAGGGATACCTAGTTGGTGGGGATGATTCCGTGGTTCTTAAGTGGCTGCCCGTTTGGCAAAGGCCCCAGCTGCAGAATGGTGGCAGAGAGGTCTAACTACGGCGTGGAGAACGGACTTGCCCCACTGTGTGTGGAGGAGGTGCAAAATCCAGCCCCCAACCATCCCAGCCCACGGTGTCAGCACAGCCTGTGCGGACTCACTCCTGCCTTTGAGAATCAAGCCTGCCCATGGGTGGCCTTGGGCGGTCCTTACAAGGGTGATGGGCTTGGGTAGTGCGATTTAAATGTCCAGATTTGAGTACCAGAAAGTAGACTGTGAAAGAGTATTGGTAGGGCAACCATGTAACTTATTGTCTAAACCAGGGTGTTTTTGAGAGTGAAAGGCAGCATTATATTATGCCAGAGGAAAGAGCAATAAATCAAAATTCTCCTGTGCACACTAGGTTGTATCCTCACGGCAGTATTCAGAGAAAATCTGGTGCTTCATTGAAGTTAAAACATCAGGAATTTAAAATACAGCTGAGGCGGTGTCCGAATGGCAGATGTAATTTGCCATCAAATCCCTGGGTGGCTGCTCTGAGTCCCAAGAATCCTGCCTATGAGGTGAGCCAGTGTCGGCTCCTTGTAGGAGGTGGTCCCATAAGGCAGCACCCTGAGGGGCTTCAGCGGGCCTGGCTGTCACTGCCCAGAGCCCAAGGTCACATCCACAACGGGATGACCCCCACCATGTCACAGGGAGTCTTTGCGCTTTGGGACATTTCAGCACAGTCTGGGGTGTGATTCCTACGCCTACTACAGACCCGGCTCCCAGGTGGAGTGAGGTGCCTCGCACTGCGCCCAGACAGAGCTCTGTGCAGCACCGGTCACGGCGCTGGGTGGGTCACGTCTGCCTGTCTCCTGGGCGGGCAGGGCCGAGTGCCCAGCTCTGGCTCAGGGCAGTCCACAGAGCCGCAGTCCTTGGTGCCCTGAGCTCACAGTGCTTTCCTGGCCATTGCAGGTGGACAGCCAAACCGAGGAGAACAACGACATGAACAAACGGAGGCGGAAAGGCTGCAACAACCTGGATGAGGTTTGTGTGCGCAGGGTCAGTTTCAACGAAGGCTATTGCCCAACAGCCGGAGGCCCAGGCCCACCCAGCTGTGGCAGCAGCCCGGGCCCTCCTCGCTTTCCCCTCTCAGGAACCACTCCATTCCAAGCTTGACGTGATGGAAAAACAGTCGGGTTCTGGTCCCTCCTCCACTCGCTTCCTAGCTGTATGACCTTGAGAAACAGAACTTCCCAGGGTGGGGTTCGTGTCTGTTAAACACAAGTGATACCTTTGAAATGTATGAAACTTGGCAGGATTTTTAAAGATTAACTAAGAAGATGTTATATAATGTGCTGGGCATGATAAATGGCACCTATGCTAATCAATAGATTATCGCAATTAATGGTGAATTGTAAAGAGGCACCAGCTGACCCACTTTTCTCCTCAACATTGTTTCTACCATTTGTGTTTTCTGCACTTTCTGTCCTTAAGGACCATGTCCCAGTGCCCACAAGTGCCACCTTCTGGTGACAGAAGAAAGTCACAGGCTACTTTGCAAAAGCAAGCATGAATTTCTCTCCTCCTACTGAAAAATTGATCAGCAGAAAAAGAGAGTATCAGTTCCGCTTCCCCAGGCAGCTCTTTAAAGAGACCTGAGATACACCCTTCACTTGAAAAGGCTGTTCTCGTCCCTCAAAAGCCAGCCCAGAGACTGTCAGAGAGCTGCAGGACGCCGGCTGTAGCTCGCCTGGTGGCTGCTGTCGTAATTATGACATAGAGACATGTGGCGTAGTCTGGTATGCATAATGCATTGATGCCTGAGTTATAGGACTTAGAGAAGACATCCACCTTATATGGTCGAAGAGGTTTAATTGCTGTGTATTTTTATGACATTGTTGTTCACGTCTGTGACTGACTGCATGTGGAAACCCTGACTGGAGTCAGGCCCCTGGCTCTCACAGCTGACCTTCGTAACAGGTGGAGCCACAAAGCCTGCCCTGGGCAAAAGGGTAGCTGCCTATCGCTCAACCCATCTCCTGGGATGCTCAAAGGGAGGTGCTGATACCAAAAAGTATGGAGTTCAATTCATGTCTTACAATGAGCACAAAAAGCTCATTCTATCCGATGAGTTGCCCTCGGGCTTGGTGGAACCTTTTCTAGAACCTCTTTGGGTGGTCCCTTCCACAGCAGTTGCTTCCCCGTCTTTTGGCTCTGGTGTGAGCCAGAAGCCAGCGGATAGGGAGATGCTGGTAATTGAGAGGAGGAAGCAGAGGCTGAATAGCAGGGCAGGAGAGGTGTCCTACTTCCCCGGTTATGGGCATTGGTGCTTGTCATAGTGCCTGTGACCTGCTCTGACCACCACCTCAGGAGCTTCCCGTGCATGCACTTTTTCTCAGGGATGTCTCCTCCTGCCTTCCATCCGGGGCTTATGTGGGGGGGTGTCTGTGCTCTTTCTGCTGATGGCCGCACATGAGTGGAGTGTGGGAAGAAATCTGGTTGCACCTGCCCCTTCTGAGGTGGCGCTGGGCTGTGTTCTGGGCCAGCTAGTTTGCCTCCCAGTCAGATTTAACCAAACCCGCCTCACTATCATCACTTGGCAGCTGGTTAAAAATGCAGAGTCTCCAAGCCCAACCCCAGCCGATGATGGAACTTAATCTGCTTCCGAAGGAGCCCCTGTGACTCATGTCTGGGAAGTGCTGTCTGCATGACCCACTGTCCTGGCCGGCTTCAGCCTTGTGCAAACAGTGGCTGCCCCAGTGAGCCCGCCTCTGTGCACTCGAGGCTGCATTGCTATGAGAGCTGCATTTCCCACTCTGAAGTGGGGAGTGACTCCGGTCCGTGTTTGCCCGGCACTTCAGAGCGGCTGTGCACACAAGGCTTCCCGTGTGGCTGCTGCTCTTGGGGATATTTTTTAAAAAACCTCTGACTCTAGCTTGCTGCTTCCCATGGATTTCTTCTCAGTGGACACGTCTCTGTTGTCTTGAGAACGTCCACTTCTATGCTGGAGACTCGTTGTCTTCTGGGGAAAGCAGGCTGCCCCCTGACACCACAGTGCCGTTTACACTTGGAGGCCTGCGGGGCAGATCCTGTTCGGGGAACAGACATTCCACGAACCCTGGTCATTCTCCCAGTCTTACTTTTAGCCGATGAGCTCACAAAACCTTGCATGGAACTCCTTCATAAAACACATAATTGAGTGATGACAGCCAACATCGCCCCAGTCATTAGGCACGTTGGTGCCATGCACCCTGATACATAGCAGTGAGAGGAGCACCTCGCCTCTGAGGCACCCTGCTCCAAAGTCCATGACCCCGGTCTGGTCACAGGAGCCACCAGAGCAACCCAGGTGAGGGGACTTTGCACCCAGTAGCTGACCGGTCCCCTTCAAAACTGTCAAAGTCACAGAAGACAGAGAAAGATGGAGAAACTGTTGCAGGTGGAAGGAGACCAAGGAGAAATAATGGCTTGGTGCAGTGTAGGATCCTGGGTTGTATCCTGGAGCCACCCGAGGACAAGCACAGAAAAACTGGTGCGATCCAAATCAAGTCCATGGTTAATAGTGTCCTGCCTTAATTTCTTAGTTACGGTAATGGTTTCGTGATTACTCCAGATGCTAATATTACGTGCCCCTGGGTGAAGGGTATGCAGGAACTGTCTGTTCTATCTTTGTAACTTTTTTCTGAATCTACAACTGTTTCAGAATTAAAAGTTGTTTTTAAATGATAGCAACAACAGAGCAGGACAGGTGGAAGCTGGGAGTGGGGTGCAGAGGAGGTGGGAGAGAGAAGCCCAAAGCCTGTGCCTGACCGACACCCCTGTGGTTCCCCTCCTCCCCGCACTGTTCACCTCTGGAAGCCTCGGGACGTATTTTGAAAATAATTTTGCTCACCGCTTCGCTACTATATTTGATTTTATTTTGCAACAACCGTGTAAAGTAGGTTATGCTCCCACTTCACAGATGAGGAGGGAAACTTCAGGGAAGTCGACTGCCAAGGCCACTGGGCTGGGAAGTGAAAGAGTCAGGATTGAGACCCTAACTCTCCAGCTCCCAAGCTTGGGTGTGCCCATCTTTGGGAAGACACACCTTTCCTGTGAGCATTGTCTCCACGTGGGCATCTCCCACCATTTGAGTCTCACTTCCTCAGACCATGCAGGGTCTCCTTCGGGAAGGTAGTCCCCTGACCCCAGACTCCAGGCCCCCTCCCTGATATCTGGGTTCTGGGGCCCAGCCACCAATGCACTGCTCTGGCCTTTGCAGCCTTCAGCCTTTTCCAGCCGGAGTTTGTGCTCCAGTCAAGAGTGCGGCAGCAGTAAAGAAGGTGGCAATCAGAACAAAGTCAAGTCCATGGCAAGTCAGCTGTTGGCCAAGTTTGAGGAGAGCTCTCGGAACCCTTCACTCCTGAAGCAGGTGAGTCCCATCGAATGCTCCCTGGACCTGTCTCCTTGGCAACCAAGAACTGGGAAGCCAGAAGAAGTGTTCAGGCTAAGGATGGGTGTCAGGTATGCCAGCCGGGCCTGGCTCAGGTGAGCCTTCTTCTGGACCAGGAGTTGGCAGAGTTTTCTAAAAAGGGGCCATATGGCCAATACTTCAGACTTGGGGGACCATCTGATTTTTCTTGCAGCTACTCAACTCTGCCATTGTAGCATGAAAGCAGCCACAGACAATACGTAAACAAATACACGTGCCTGTGTTTCAGTAAAACTTTGTTTATAAAACAGGCAGCAGGCCAGACTGGGCCCCAGGACCGTAGTTTGTCGTGCTCGTTCTGCGTTAGAGAAGGAACCCTTTCCCTGATTTGGTTTTATTCCACCACCATGGCTCGGTCTGCACCCATCGATGAGACGGTGCAGCTGGAGGGAGCTTTGAAGGTGCTGCATCCTGGGGGAGCGCTGAGTTCGTGGTGAGAAGCCCTATCCAAACACAGGGAAACTGAGTCATGGGTTTTCACTCCATGTGGGCCTGCAGGAATGGGGACCAACCCCCCAAGTGCCCTGGTGCCCCCTCTCCACGTTCCCTAGGGTCAGGTGGCAGGGCTGTGTGTCTGACCAGGGCCGGCTGCGTCTGCCGGCAGTCAGCGCTGTGGTGAGGCCGCAGACTGAGCTGACTTCTCTCAGACTCCCGTAGGGTCTGCGCTGCGTGGTTCGGTTTGCTACCCTTAATTCCTCTGGGACACCACTGTCACATTACCGAGGCTGGGGGCAGGGTGCTGGTTCTCCTTTGGAGAACACCTGTCACATGACAGAATTAGGTTCCTCTCAGCAGGAGGGCGGAGTCAGGTTAATTAGGTTTTGAGAGGTAATCCTAGATGTTTTCCTGGTCCTGATGTGAACCACGCCTCTTCCAGGAAAAAAATGACCTTCCCCAGGAAGCCAGGTTTAGTGAAGGGGGTCATTTTCCTGAGACTTGTCACTGAATTTTTTTTCAGTCACCTCTTCTGGAGGCTGGGGTCCTTGCGGCCCCCGAGGGTAGCTGATGGACATAGCACCCTGTCTTCTAGTAGGCAGGGAGCTTTTCTGTTTCCAGGGGCACTCCGGGGCCGGCCACCCAGGCCTGGCATGGACTCTGGCAGTGCCCGTCCACTGCCCTGGGTCTCAGCCAACAGCACGGCCTCCCTGAATTCACACGTTGTCCCAGAGGAGGGGACGCGGGGACTTGCTGTCCGCATGGCAGAGAGCCAGGGTTCAGGTTTCCTGGCGGGGCCCAGCCTAAGCCCAGGGCTCTCTCGGTCTCTCTCTGTACCTGCAAACTCTCTCTCCCTGCCTCTCTTACTCTCTTCCCTCCGAGTGTCTCAATCTGACTTAGCCTTTTCCTTCATGTTTCCTGTGGCTGCTTTTGGGGACTCACCTTCCTCCTCCCAGGAACGCAGCATCTCGGGGATAGGTAAGCCTGTGCTGCGCTCATCCTCTGACCCTCCTGTTAACTCTTGCTGTCTCAAGCCAGAAGAGCCCACGACCAGCCCATCACCTCCTCTGAAAAGGCAGGTAGGGCTCTTTCCAGTGGATGGGGTGTTGGTGAAGCCAGAGGGGACCTGGACGCGGGGGGCAGGGCTCTGTGGGCCCCTTGCACACCCCAAGTAGGGCTGATTATAGGTTCTCTGGGAAGGCAGACACAACTCGAGGTCCCCACCCTTGTAGGTAAGAATACCCAAATATGCAGCATCCCGAAATACATGCCATTGACCCTTCAGCCAGTCAGGGGTATGGAATGACCAACTGCCATATGCTTGGTACTCTGTTTGCTTCGGGAAAAACAGACCACACCACATGGTCTGTGGTCTCCTTTGTCTGATGCCCCTGGAACAAGTAGCTTTAGTTGCAGAGCACTTAAAGAGGCTGATTTCTAAACTGATGAAAAAGTGGCAGTGATGGTGGAATGGGTTTAGGCGGCCGACTGGCTGCATGCATCAAAGGGGCAAGGCTGGGATGTGGTACTGCCCTCCCCGGGCACCTGGGCAGACGAGGACCTGCTCAGTGTGCAGGGAGGCAGCTGGTGGCCATGGACCGTGGCTCTCTCCAGCTAGCACCTCTGGGTTTGGAATCCGAACAGAGTCATTTTTACTGGCCGCAGCATTCAAAGATGTCTGGTCGGCATAAGAAATTCTCTATTGCTTCTGGGCAGTGGAGGATGAATGAGGTCAGTGTGGATATAAAGCAGAGATTTTGTCAGAGTGTATAAAAATTACCTCAAGAGCAATTATTTTCCAATTTAAAAAAGGGGTATTTAAAAACATACCAACATCTGGTGCCCATCCCAAGACCAACTGAATTAGAATCTCTGGAAGTCAGGCCCAGTCTTGGGTCCTTCACGGAAAGCGCGCTGGGCGGCTGCGGTGTGCACCTAGGACGGAGAACCAGGGCCACGCGGGCTTCGTTCGGTGGGTGTGGAAGGCGGCCCAAGGCTAATGCTAGCAAGAATGTCAGATTTACATAATGTCAGTAACCAATGTTAACCCAATACACTTAAATTTTAAAGACTATTCTTCCCCATTTAGTTTTCTTTATTTTTTTTTAAAGAGAGGGGAAGGGAGGGAGAAAGAGAAACATCAACATGCAAGGGAAACATCGATTGCTTGCCTCTTGCACGCCCCCAACAAGGGACCTAGTCTACAACCCAGGCTTGTGCCCTGACTGGGACTCGAACTGTCAACCCTTTGGTTTGCCAGCCGGCACCCAACCAACTGAGCCACACTAGCCAGGGCTAAGAAGTTTAATTTAAAAAGAAAATATTTTTAAATTAAAAATAAATAAATAAAAGGAGATGCCAGGTGATTCTGGTGCAGGTAACAGAACATCAACGCCTGAGGTTTGTTTGGAATCTCACTCCAGGCAGCACCTGGTGCATCCTTGGTCCCCAGTCCTCACAGGGGTTCCTTATGTTCTGTGGGGGGTGGGGGTAATGAAAGGGCCATGGTAGGAAAGGAAGCTTGATTTTCCTTCTCCCCAGTTCCCCTCGGTGGTTGTGACGGGGCATGTGCTCCGAGAGATAAACCAAGTGTCTGCTGGTGGAGGGTGCCCGAGCCGGCCCTGGAGAGCCAGAGCCAAGTCTGACCTGCAGCTGGGGGGGCCAGAAAACCGTGCAGCCCTGCCTCCTACCTGCCAGGGAGCGCTGGCCCTCTCTGGGGTGCTGCGGAGGCTGCAGCTAGTGGAGGAAAAGATTCTCCAGGTGAAAGCCTTGCCCTTTGCCCCACCTCTGCCTGTGTCTGGGGAGCCTTCTATTCCCCCTCTTCCTCTGCCTGCCTGGGCTGGGTTCCTTCTCTTACCATTCGTGCATGCCCTGTCCCCTGCCCCATCCCCTGCTCTGTCCCTGCCCACTATGTGGACAGTGAGACATGCCTGCCCCACTGCCTCCCACATCCCACCATCCCACTCTCTGTCACTACCTCCTTTTTCTTTCTCCTTTCTTGCCTCGACTGCAGAAGAGGGCTCAGAACTTGGCCAACAGGGAATTCCACAAAAAGAACATTAAGGAGAAGGCGGCTCACCTTGCCTCCATGTTTGGACATGGGGATTTCCCACAGGTAAACGGGGCTTTCAGAGCCCCCCAGGGACCTGGGCATTGGACATCCAGCCAGGTGACCTCAAATCTGTCTCTGGAGCTCCTCCTGCTTGTGTAGCATGAGGCACAATTCATTTTTCAAACTGCTAAATAATTCAAGGTACTATCTAAAAAAGATGCAAATGAGGACATTCAAAATAAGTAGATAAGTCAGGACAAAGGGAAAACCAAGGCTCAGAAAAGTGAGGTCAGATCAAAAGAAGATATTACTGAACAGAAACATAGGCTGTTAGATCCCAGACAGCTTCTGGGTGGGCTCTGAGCTTCCTCGGGACCAACACAAGGAGGGAAAGCTGGTCAGTTATAAGAATTACATCACAGTGCCTTTAAGGTGAAAGCAAGCCATTTTGGGGCATGATGGAGAAATCTCCCCATGGCCTTGATCAGGGAGACACTGATGAGAAAGTCAACCAGAGACCATAACCTTGGCTCTGTGTGGAGCCAAGAAGAATGGCTTTGCCTCAGAGTACAAAGCACAGATGCTCATTTAGAAACTTGCTTAAAAGAAGAGCGTGTGCTGGCAAGGAGACGAAGGAATTGATGCGAGGTCCCGCAGTACATGTGTATGGAAGGCAGGCACTCACTCTCTTGCATCAAATCTGGTCTTTAGAAGCTAACCTCCCCTGATGCTTTTGCTCAGTCTCCTCCAGACCTGTGGCCTCTGCTACTCAGCAGAGTCACTGATGTGAGAAGGAGGCTTTGCATGTATTTAGTTCATTTGTAGCTGCTGGGAGGCTGGCACACTTGTCTGCAGCCACAGAGACCCCTGCTGGGGTCATCTGCTCCAAAGTAGCCCAGGATCTTCCTTTCCTAAGTTTGCACCTGTCACTTTGCACCAAGCTCCAGAGGGAGGGCTTTAAGGCTTAGTGCTGGCATCTGTGGCAGACATGGGGCAGCAACAGGATAGACCTGCTCCCGCTGTTATGGTGGGACGAGGAAGCTGGAATAGCTGTAGCAGAAAATGTAACCAGGAGGCAGACAGTCCTGCTGAGCGCCAAAGACACAGGCTCCTGCTGTGTCCTGAGAGGCAGGCCTGGATGTCTTTGCCCCTCCCGGAGCGCGTGGGTGTGGGGCTGCTGAGGCGAGCGTCACTGTGCCTTTCCTGGGGATAATCATAGTTTCCTCTGTTTCTCTTCTGTGCAGAATAAGTTACTCTCTAAAGACCTGTCTCATACTCACCCTCCGTCTCCTCCCTCCTGCCTTCCATCTCCTGATCCAGCTGCCACTTCCTCTCCATCGACCACTGACTCTGTTTCTCCTGCCAAAAAGGTAGTCATCCTGAGCAATTCGCTGCCCCACTCCCTGCATGTTCCGAGATGTCCCCCGCCCCTGCTCGACCTGCACAGACCAACGTTGGGAGCTCGGCTTGGCTGAGATGAAATTTGTCACATACTTCACAACAGTCCTGGTTTTGGTTTTGTGTTCATGTTGGACGCAGCAACATAGCGGAACAGGCAGCACACAAAAACCTGTCTAACATCGCTCATTCATCCAGCAAGCATTAGCTGGGTCCCCGCCACATGCCAACCACTGTGCCAGATGCTGAGGAACTAAAAAGGGGGTGGTACAGTTTTCTCAGTAGTTTAGATGCAAACAGCACATTAGAATAGAAATACATAACTTTTTACCATATGAAATTGCCAATGTTTGGCTGTTTTTGACCTAATATTATGGCAGTTTCACATGGTGAACCTTATACAATCCTATCCATTAATTCTATGACAGATGTAAAAGGCAAGATTGTAGGAACCCAGAAGGGAGAAGCCAGGAAGGAATCACAGAACAGGGAAAAGGGGGCTGAGTGTTGAGGGTTGTACAGCAGGATGTGCTGGAGGAAGTGCAGGGTGAGGGCACTTTCGAAAGGGTCCGGCATGTGCAAAGGAAGGCAGACAGGACTTGTGTGGATGGAAGGTCAAACTTCTGGTGTGACTTGAACTTGGGGGGTGAAAGTACTCACCCAGGTGCAGAGAATGAAGATGAACGTGAGCCCACTCTTTTTGTGCTAAGGAATTTCATTCTGGCCTTTTACAAAGAGCCCCTGAAGGCTCTTCTCTGTGTCCTGGCAGCATGACTCAGGGAGCCGTGCAGAGGCTGGCTTGCAGGGAGGAGGCAGGGAGCTAACTCTGCTTAACCTGATAATGAAATGCATCATGAGCAATTGATAAGTTTGGGTTCTGGAGCACTTTTTATGTTTTCCCTTGTCTTCCTTTTACCTGATATGCTGAGAACCCTACCAGGCTGGGCAGGGAGAGGGGCAGCCCTAGAGAAAATCGGCCCCTGGAATGCATGAGCCTAAAAACGGACAGGAAGCCCACTTCCGCTGTTCCACATTGGAGTAGGTTTGGAGTCTCCTCCCCACAGCCTCTGCTGCTCTGAGCACATCCAGTCTGTCCAGCTGCCTCCTGGGCTCCGCTTGGTGGGCAGTGCTGAGGGCCCCTTATCACAGTTCCTACTCATTTGCTTCCGTGCTATTAGGCTGATGCACAAACCAGCTCCCTGCTATTACATTAGTAGGAAATCAGGAGTTGCCTCCTTGTGTATAGTGGGGATTCCATGCTCTTTGACACCCATCTCTGTGGGAAGGATGGTGAGGGTAGGGTCTCCAAGAAAGGAGCAAGGAATCTTATCAGTCCCACCTCCTGCAAGGTCCCCAACACATCCCTGGACTGGCAGCAGGAGGTGACATGGAGAAACCAAACACTCTCTGTTTGGTTTCTGAAAACAGGTCCACTGAAAACAGTCAAGGCTGAGTGGCCCATGTCTAGTCCCAGGTCGGCCCTTGGTCAGGGTCTGACCTTAAGTCCCCTGACCTGCCTGGGCCTCCATTTCTCATCAACAAGAGAATGATTCCTGGCTCATGTGACAGTGAGCTATATGGGTGGAGACCAGCATTTTTGTCATCATTCTCACTAAAAGGCTTCAGAGTAGCCTTTTTGCCCTTCCCTGGGGGTACATCCTGCTGTAGGAAAGGTCATTGTCACCCTGGACAGGATGACACAGGTGAGGGTACCCAGGTCCAGACAGGCAGTTCATGCTCTCACCTGGGCAATGGGCCCTCACCTGGCCCGTCTCTGACCCAGCCTCTCTCTGGCTGGACCTGGTCAAGGCTCTCTCTCACCCTGGCTTTTCTTTTGACCTCAGGCTTATCAGCTTTTGACCCCTGCCCTATCAGCATTGAGGTTAGGGCCTTCATGCTTCCCAGCCTTCCTTGGTGAGGTTGCCAGCAGGCATTAGTTCTCTAGGCGGTGGCCCAAGACAGCCTCATCTGGGTACATGCGTGGCCTTGGGGGTCTGACAGCCACTTCTGGTCAGTGGGCATGTCCCCTGTCACATCAGCATCATGCGTCATCCCAGGAGGCCCTGGCTGCTGCCTCTCCAATGGGCTCTTCAACAGGCTTTACCCAGTGTCACTTTTTAGGCCAGTGAGTAGACATTCATTCATGTGACAAATATTTGTTGAGTGACAGCTGGGTGTCAGGCATTTCAGGCCCCGGGGTGTGTATCAGTGAACAGGAGTCACGTTCCTGCTGTGATGAGTCTCACCGCCTAGTAGGGGAAGTAGACAGCCAACAAGCATATGATATGGAAATGAGTTATATAGTACGTCAGAAGCTAAGATGACCTTCCCGTGGGAAAGTTAGCGGATAACAGGGACGTGGCGTCTAGGGGAAAGGGAGCGGCTTTCATGGGGTGATGGGAGGCTCTTCCTGGGAGAGTGTGGCCTGAGCAGGGGCAGAGCCGCAGAAAAGGAAGATGCAGGGAGGAGACTAGTGCCCAGGGCTCCGGGCTCCACCCCGGTGTTCCCTTCTCTGTCCCGCAGAGGCCTGTGTGAATGGAGGCTCCTTGGAAGGAGCAGCCCAGAGACTGTGTCCCGGTGTAGCCCCACACCTAGACACAGGGACAGCTGCCAGTGGGGTGGCCTTTGGGATGCCCAGCCCCAGCCCTAGCCTCAGCCCCCAGCCACCACCTCTATAGCTTTGTTCCTTATTTCTCCCAGGTTGTGCCAGAAAAATCGCCCCCGGTTTTTTCTTACCCCATCTCTTTAGCTGACCTTGGCCATCAACTGATGGTGTAATTGGGGTATTTTAATAGCTTCCACCCTGATGTGCCTTTCACAGTGTGCCTGGGAATGACTGGGGAGCTCTTAGAAAGGGCCACCATGGGACCCTGGGCAAGTCACATACCCTCTCTATGCTTTAGTTTCTCCATTCATGAAAAGGACCCAGGTTGGACCTGACACCCACAGACCTCTCCAGATCTCATTGTGAAGCCTTTGTAGGCAGTTAGGGCTGGAGTGGTGAGTTTCTTGGAGAAGATATCGCCAGCTGCACTGCCAACCCCCCCCCCCCGCAACTTCCCTCCCTCCCCTGACCACATCTGACCCTTGATTCAGCTATGCACAAGCAGAGTCTCCTCTGCCTGTGCAGACCAGCACAAGTGATGGTCTCCTCTGAGAAAAGAATTGGCTATCCCTTAAAGTAGGTGACAACCTGGGGACAAATAACTTCATTTGGTTTTGGTGCAGCTCAGGGAGCCTCCCTCCTGGAGAGAGCTTGGGGCCTTCATGTTTCTTTCCAACAGATTGGAAAGAAACTGCCCTCATTGCCCAGTGACCCAAGTTGGCCTCAATTCAGGGGAACCCAAGGAAGGAAGGTGCACTTGGGAATTGGTGCTTAGTCCTTAGCAACCTCTGGACAAATGGCATGTCCCCATTCCTGCCCTAGAGCCCTACACTGCAACTCTGAGGGTCCAGGGAACAGATCCTGCCCAACTGGCCATGAGGAGCACCTGTTACTCACAGAGACAAAACCTTGGGTCACCAACTCTGCCTGCAGGCTACACTAGCCCACCCTCTCAGACCCACTTTCTGCCTTCAATTTCAGAGTGATCCTGCTGGGTGTTTGTTCATTCGTTTGTTTGTTTTTGCCCTGAGCAGTTATAGAGGACATTGAAGTCTTCTCATTTAGGGCCCAGATTCTTACTCCAGAGTCTCGTCTTTCAAGACCTTAGACTGTGGAACCATGTCCTGTCTTACATCCTCCACACCATTCGACTCCTCCAGCCCTTTGGACCAGCCCACCCGTAGTGGTGTCAGCCCCTATCATTCATTAGCTAGCTTCTTTATTTGAGAAGAGAGGCCACTGCTCATTTGACTTCTGCCCTGGCTGCTCACCATTTGCCAAGGCTGAATGTTTGCACAGCTGAGCAAGAGAGATGGCTGCACTGGGCTGGGGACTGTGGGTTAGTCTTCCCAGGTCAGAGGAGAAAGGTGCATTGCAAAAGGAGCTTTCCCTACCCTTGCGGGTATTTGTTTTAAAACTGGATTTGCAGGGTTTACTCTAGAGATTTGCATATCAGAGAGAAGCTGGGCAATCATGAGGGGCAATCCACCTTTGTTCCATCTAATACAAGATAGTTCTCAAGGCTGCCTCCAACCTCATTGTCCTCCCTGTTCCAGGGATAGAGCTCAGCGCCTCTTTGGACGTGTTCTGTGTGCATTCCAGCCTGGGCATTGTAATGTGCAGAGTGCTGGCGTGTCTCAGGGAGGCAGGGTGCTGTAGGGAGAAGGATATGGGCTCAGAGTCAGGGCACCAATTAATTTCTGTGTGACCTTGGACAAGTCAGTGGCCCTCTCAGCGCCTTAGTGTTCTAGCCTGTAAAGTGGAGGGTGATTGGAATAATGCAATGCCTAGACTGTGTCAAAAATGCCTGAAGTATCTGATAAATATGCTCTTTCCCTGGCAGAGACTTCTAGAAGAAAGCTCATTTACCTAAAATGCAGGCTGATTCCTCTCTTTCTAAAGGCAAAGAAGTCACCTTCAAGTTTCCATTTCCATCCCAGCCACTTAGAAGTGGTGAGGCCTCGAGTGAGTTAGAGACTCCCTGGACCTCAGCTGCCCCCGGCTGCGGAGGGGAGATTATAAGACCCACCGTGCAGGCCGTGAGTGTTAAATGCATGTGACGATCAGCCTGGCACGAGGGGACGAAGGTGCAGATATGGGTTCCCCTTGGTTGGGGAGAGGGCAGGTCACAGACCCAAAGGCCCACCTGTGTCTCAGCTCTGAGTATGTAACATCCAGACCCCTTTGAGGAAAGTGGTCTTAATCCTTGGCCTCCCTTCCCTCCCCTGGGGAGGATGCGGGTCCACCAGCCTGTTGTCTGATGTTCCTCAGGCAGGGACTCTTCAGTGAGGAATGCCCTCTGGCCCTGCCTGTGGAAACCTCCCCGTCTTGTGAGCCCCCAGTGCTGAGGTGCTGGAAGCTTTACTCTCCCCACTGTGGCCTTTATGGTGTGCAAAGCAGACCAAGTGGCCACAGGTGGCCCAGCTCTGCAGGGAAGCAAAACTTGGACACCTGGTATTCATGGCAGAGTTCCAGGCCCAAGCGGAGATATTACCATTATTTGGATACAAAAAGGCCCAGGAGCCTGCTTCCTCCTTCATTCAGAGCATCTGCCCTGAGCCAGGGGTGTAGAGGTGAATGAGACCGAGTCACAACATCGGGGAATGCCAGCCACAGGGGAGAGCGGCCGACTCGGAGCAAGGTCAGAAAGGCTCCAGCAGCCAGGCAGCAACATCATATCCTGAGCTGGGGTGATAGGATTGCCTCAGGAACGCCTCTTTGTGGAGGTCCAGGCATCTTGGGCAGCCCATGGTGGTGCTTATTACCTCACAACAGGTACAGTCCATGCTATCATCTGGGCTGAGCAAAGCCAGGACGCTCACCCGGGGTGGCCCCTGTTCTCACTCGTGCAGAGGAGGAAACCCAAGCAACCAGGGGTTCTCCCAGTGAGGGCCATCTATCGAGGAGAGAAGGCCCAGAACACGGACATGTGAAGCTGCGTCAGACTCGTTAACCACCTGCCAAGGGCTCTTGGGAGCCCAGGCCCGTGTGAGGCACAGCCCAGGTTCTTCGATGACCCCCCGCTGCAGCCCCGCCAGGATGGTGGCGGCCTCCCCGTTTCACGGAGGCAGGAGCGGAGGCTCACAGACAGGCGGTGTGTGTGAGGTGAATGGGACATCATGTGCGACGCTGGACCTCCTGAATTTTGTAACCGTTTGAGCTGCTCTAATTTGCTGAAAAATAATTAGACTTTACAATGGAAAAAGGGAATGAGAAGTAGCTCAATTCTGTAGTTTTACAAGAATATCAAACGATGCATAAAATGTTATGAAAAACTGCCCCATGCCCTCCAAAATTACCAGTTCTTAGAAAACTGGAGACAGGGGCATGATCGTTTTCAGTCACACCATCAGGTTGCCCAACTTCACATCGGACGAACTATTCCCAGCCTGACGGTCCATTTGTGACCGCCCCTTTCAGTGCACGAATCTCCGTGTGGAAAACCTCCAGATCTTACTCTGAGGTCCATACCAGGCTGAATTTTCTGGAAGTTTCTCCATGAGTTCAGCGTGTTTCTTTCTCAGGGTCCAAAGAACCTGGTAATTCCCTGGTCATCTAGAGCAGTGCTACTTCTTAACGTGTGGTGCCCCAGGCAGGTGTGTCTGTGACTCAATGAGCACAGCCAGCGAGAGGACGCATTAGACAATGCGGCATCGCCACACACCCACAAGTGTGCTCATGTTTCTACTAATTCATTTTTGTTGTGTTCCAAAGTATCCGGCCACCAGGGATGAGGGATTAAAAAGAAAACTTTCACCACCAAAAGTCAGAGGAGTGCCGAGCCAGCACAGGCCAGGGGGGCTCGCCTGCACTCTTGGGAGCCAATAAGGTGTCCTGCTCTCAGGAAGCAGAAGATAACTTGCAGTCCCCACTTTAACGGCCACCTTCACACTGGTCTTTGGGGTGGGCTTCATGGGCCCCCTTTCACCCTTTAGTCAAGTTCTCCGTCACCTGGTCTCTTTGTGACCTCTCCAGCAAGTCCCCATCCACCTCTTGAGAGTGGCCAGTGGTGATTCTGGGATGGTTTCCATCAGGCTGGGAAGGGCACGTAGGAGACCCACTGCTGTCTTCCTTACGGAGGCTCTCATTCCCTCATCCTTCAGAAGGCTGTTGTCACAGAGAGGGAGTGGATGCAACTGGGAGAAAGGAGCCTTTGAGGCCTATAATGAGCGACCAGGTGCGGTCTTCACCCCGCATCCCCTGGCCAGGTGACTAGACGGTGCCCTGTGCTCGTACAACAACTGAGCAGGCTCACGATGGCACAGAAATGCCTTGGCGACACCCCCAGCAACCTCACGGGCCTTTGCATGGTTCCTTAATTGCACCCTAAGTCATGACTGCACAGAAGTGCAGCAATGCAAAATGCTTATTAGCTAAGTGGTTAATAAGGTCTCATTAGGGACTTGCATGTAAAGCCCCAGGAAGTGCAGTCCCCATCTCTGCTAACTCAGGGGAGGCAGTAGTTGCATGTGGGTATCACGGCGGCGGCAGCACCGTGGTGCCTTTCTGGAGAAGCCAGGGGAGGTGGCCACGGGCAGGTAAATCTGACTTCCTCCCTTCATTTCGAAGCAAACCCAAGAGGTGTACTCAGTATATACTCCAGCCCCTATCTGCCGGGCTTGTGTTGGGGGCCTTATTGGGGGATGGAGCGAACACCAGGCAAACAGTGGCATATGTCCTCAGCCAGTAAACCTAAACATTTCTTGAAAGCAGGAGCCAAGTTTCTTGGCATTTGTGAAACCCTGAAAGTTGCAGAGAGAGTGCTTAAAAGCAGAATCCTAATCTCTCCCAGGCCGGGCCAGCTGGAGCGGGGGAGGGGGACCTGGGGTTGGGAGTGGAGTAGCAGCCTGGCAGCTAGAAGTCCCATCTGTCCGAGTCGTGGGGTGGGGTGCCTGCAGCCTCTTTCTCTACAAGCCTCAGAACCACAAACATGGGCTGGAGTGGTGGGTCCAAGGTTGCTGTTAGGTTGAGGTTTTCCTTAATGAGAAGTGGGGCAAGTGTTATTTTTCCAGTCTGCGTGGCAGCTTCTCCTGTTCCTGCCCTTGTAGTGCCTGTGCTTTTGCTGGAATCCGACTCAGGTCCTGAGGATGGGTGTCGCTACAGGAGGTGGGGAGGTGGGGAGGTGGGGAGCTGTAGGAGCCGCTCTCCCCCCGAACTTCCTGCTGTGTGTTAGAGGTTTACTGCTCTGGGATTAGATGTAGCCTCTCAAAAGCAGTCTTGGGTTTAGATTGAGGGCATTCCATCACCCCCACCCAGGCCCCTGTTATTTGTCCTCCCAATGGCTGTCAGTCTGTGCCCAAGGGCCGTCAGCCTAAGTCACAGCTCTCTCTGGCCACATCTCCCAGAAGCTGGATTCAGAGGCTGGGGGAGGCCCTGGAGCCTCCCTCCCTCCAGGGTCATGGGATCAGGAACAGTGTTTACAGAATCTCATACTGTGCATGTTGGGTGCCCTGCACAGGAGGCTGTGGCATTCTGGGGTGGCCTTGCAGAGCTGGTGGGGAAAGGGGGATCAGGCTGCATTTGCTGGGGTGAGGGGTGTGTGATTGTACCCTGTTTGCTTGGGCTGTCAGCTCCCACCTTTCTCTGGCTCCTTGACACATTGGGGTGTTATGACCCACATTAGGCAGGGGTCCCAGGGCCCAAGTGGAATGGCTGCCTCTCTGATTCTGGGCTGGCCTTGCCCGGCACTAGGCCTGGGCCCTCTGGGCGCTGCTGCCTGGAACCTGTGGTGAGGCTCCTCCTCCTGATCCCCCCACCTGCCCAGTGTGGGCCGGCCTCACTCCCATTCCAGTTACTGCTTTTATCTACAAGGGGGTCTGGTGTCCTGGCCTGGAGGGACTCTGGTCAGGCACAACCACCGCCCCCTAGGGACACAGCTGCAGGGCTGGCTGTGGCCTGCCGAATTCAGAGGAAGAATGGAGGGAGGAGTCAAGTTTTTATTGGCCCAGCCCCTGCTAAGTGCCAGGCACTTTGATACATGTTCTGTAAGTTCTGACTTGATATCCATGAAGCAGGCAAGACTGGGGACAATTGCGGGCATGATTAACCCCATTTCATTAAACTTGAAAACCGAGCTCAGCAGGGAGAGCTTTGTACCCCATCTCAGCGCCAGCTCATGGCGATGGGGGGTCCAAACCTTCCTCCCAGTCTGTGGGGTCTCCACAGTCACTTAGCAGCAGCTCACAGCTCTCCATCCAGGAGGGTGGCGGCAGGAGGGTGTCTGCACTTCAGCTGTCTGTCTGTCTGTGAGGTCTTGGTTCCTTAGCTCCCTGTCTCCTTAGCTCAGCTTCTGTGCCCCACAGGCTTTTGGAGGCCCTGGTGACATCGGTGCAAACGTGCCTTTTGCTGGTGACCTGGCCAAGCAGCCCAAGTTGTCCCAGCCGCTGAGGAGAAAGGCTGTGGGGAGGCATCCGTGCAGCAGGGGTGGGGTCAGGAGACCTGAGTATGGTCCCGAATCTTGTGTTTGTTTGCTAAGTGGCCTTGGATAGATCCTTCCTTTCTCTGGATTAGTTCACCCCATCTGTGCACTGAGAAGCTCAATGACCTCTGAAGGCCCTGCACCCCCAGGGGATGTAGTTCTGCAGAGTCACCTGGCTCACTGAGGATCACAGGATTCTGTTTCTGGCCTTTGCTGCATCTCCAGTGTGCCTGCTGCCCGCTCTTGGCTGGGTTTGCCTGTCGGGTGCTCTTTGCATGTGGGTGTGGAGCCCTCTCCCACACCCAGCCTGTCCGTGTTTTCCTTCTCCGTGCTCACTGGCCTTACCTTTGTCTCTGTCTCCTCTACCTCTGCTCTTGGGTAGCTGACGGTAGGGAAAGTGTCCAGCGGAATAGGGGCTGCAGCTGAAGTCCTGGTCAATCTGTACATGAATGATCACAGACCTAAGGCCCAGGCTACCTCTCCGGACCTGGTAAGAATGCACATCCCTCAGCTTTCTCCCACAGGCTCCGGCCCTGGACACCCAGCGAGGGCACACGGGACGTAGAGGGGACACCTGGCCCTCTCCCAAGGTGCCCCTTCCCGTGGACGAGAGGGGCTGAGAATGGGCTGGAACAGAGAAGAGTCAGAGGGAGGCTGCATTTCCTTAAAAACAAACCTTACTCGGTGACCCTGGGGTTTGTTTCACAAGGAAAAGCCTCTTCCAGGCTGTCTGGGGATCTCAGTGAAAACCCAGGCAAGGCCATCGACACAGTCAGCCATGCCTTACTGTCAGTGCTTAGTGTCCAAACTAAGCAGCCCATTGCACTAGGTTGAGAATTCAGTAATAGAGAAACGTCCCTTTTCTTTGAAGTCTCCCTTTCTCCAGTTAAGGGCAATCACTGCTGTGATGGGGGATTTGAGTGGCAGTTCCTTTGGTTTCCTTTTGGCACATTCCCCTAGAATCACCCTGCCCTCCTGCTCCTCCTCCCCCTGACCCCTTGCATTTAGCAGTTCACCTGGCAGCCTGGTGGGCTGTGGCAACCCAGCCTCTCCCTTTCTGCAGTTTTCTTGAACAGTTCGGATGCCACAAGCTTTCCTTGCCTTCCTTGCCTGATTTAAGTCGCTGCAGGGGTACAAAGATGTAGAAAACATTCTTTCAGTGAGCTCACTCTGCATCCAGACAACACTTAACCCCTGGGACAGGTTCTTGCAGAGGGTGTCACTGGGCAGGCATGTTTGTGAAAGATGCCCACCCCATTCGACCAGGGGGCATCACTCCCACCAAAACCAGAGCAGCCAGGTGAGGGGACAGCCAGCCACTCCTGGGCCCGCCCTGTGGCTGGTCTGCCCGGGCATAAAATTAACAGTAGCCCCTGCAGTTTTGGGGCCTGTGCTGGGGGCATATCTTCCCACACTCACTCTTTGCTGCAGCACCTGCTATAACATGAGCTGTAAACAGGAACCCACGACATCCCCATGATTCAGGCCAGAACTTCTGAAAGCCCAGCCTTGAATCTGAAGACTCTCTGTAAGCCCCAACCCATTGCTCTTCTCTCCTGCTGCCCTGTGCCCCTTAGGAAACGATGCGAAAGGCATTTCCCCTGAACCTGGGTGGCAGCGACATCTGTTACTTCTGTAAGAAGCGCGTGTACGTGATGGAGCGGCTGAGCGCAGAGGGCCACTTCTTCCACCGAGAGTGTTTCCGCTGCAGTGTCTGTGCCACCACCTTGCGTCTGGCTGCCTACGCCTTTGACGTTGACGAAGGTAACCACCATCCCCCAGGGACAGTGCTGGTCTCTGGCCTGGGCTCCTGGTCCTCTAGAGGCTCCAGGACACCCAACAATTCCCAGGGAGTGCATTGTCATCCAGAAACTGTTCAGGGATGCTGAAGCTCCTCCAGACAGAGAGGGGCCACCTGCAGTGGGCAGGTGCCTCTGAGGGAGGAGGAAGCTGCCTGCACCTGGTGTGATCTGGCACTGAAGGGCACCCACTGTGTGCTGTGTGCTCTGCGTATGTTTTCTCATTCAGTCTCATGACCTTCCATCCCCCCTGTGTGGTCGAGAGACGTGGGCTCAGCACCAGCTGCTCAAGTGATAAGGGCTCAGTAAACGACAGCCTAGGAACATTGTAGTGACATCTGTTCTGATACATGGCTGATCGGAGGATGTGGATAAAGGACTTGCACTAGAATGTGTGGTTATTTTCCAATTTTCAGCCCTTGATGTTTTCACTGTCAGGTATAATGAGAGACAGTATAGTGCAGCACTCCTGAGTTAAGACCCTCACACGAAAGTGCCAGGTTCAAATCTAGACTGTAGCACTTATTAGCCATGCAACTTTGGACATGTTCCCTAACCTCCTGGTCCCTCAGTTTCCTCATCTGTAAAATCAGGATAATAATAGTACTTAGCGCGTAAGGTTGTTAATTCACAGGAAGCATTTAGAATAGTGCCTGGTATATTGTGAGACCTATGTGAGTTTTCCTATTGTTATCATTATTCCCACTACTATTGTTACTGATATAACAGTGAGCAAAGAAGGCTTTTCTAGAAAGTGCCCAAGGTCCTGGGCGGTAGCCAGTGGCCCAGTATGTGTTTCACCTGGGCTTGTCCTCCCTATCACCGGTGCCCTCGGTTCCCAGTCCTTCCCACCCCCAGGGCCCCAGAAAGGACAAGGAGCTAGAAATGGTGTTACTGCCCATTTTGCTGCCTGACAACTGGTCTTGGGAAGAGACCTGGCCTTTGAATTATCTAAGGGTTTTGGACCCATTCCTGGGAGCGCCCCATTTCTACACCCTGACTTGAGGCAGCAAAGGGTCCTGTGCCTCCTCTCAGGGCCACTTCAAGGCAGGCGACAGAAATGCTTTCCCAGGGGTGAGCTGTCCTGGGTTTGTTTCTATTGTTGGTGTTTTCTGACCTAGACAGTGGAGGGCACTTGGCTCAGGTCCACCGTGGCTCTGGCTTACAGGAGAAAATGTTTGTGTGTGTGTGTGTTTCTTTTTACAGGCAAGTTCTTCTGCAAGGCTCATTTCATTCACTGTAAAAGCAATAGCCAGCAACGAAAGAGACGGGCAGAGTTGAAGCAACAGAGAGAGGTACGTTTTGCCTTGAAAGGACTGCTGGAACAGGGGAGGCCCCTAGATGGAAGAAGGTTTCCAAGGGCTCCTCCACATTAGGCCAACATTTCTGCTCCTAGAAGGACTGAGACCCACAGATGGAGAAGAGAGCTCTGCTCCCTGGTGTCAAGGGTCCCTTTACCTCAGTCTGTTCAGCCAGCCCCTTGGGTATGTCCCACCAGCTCCCAGCTCCCAGGTGAGTGGCTGTGCTGGCCTCTCATGAGGAGCCCAGAAGAGCTTTCTCATATGCCAGGGATGCAAAAGTTACTGATTACCTTCCCATGGTCCTCTGAGTCCTGTCTTCTCCCCACTGCTCCCCACCATGTTACCATTGGGCACTGTTTGTAGGGATGCCTAGTATGGGGCCATCCTTTGCTGAGATTTCCAAGTCCTTTCCCCTGGTCCTTAGATGTCAGCAAGGTGGTAAGCCATCAGAGCCTATGGACAGCTAGTTACAGTGCCCCCTCTGGCAGCTCCTGGTAAATACCTTCTATGGCTTGACTAATCACAGCAGCCAGCAAAGATCCACAATGTAAACTTTTTTTCTGATTACATATTAATAGGGGCTCAATGTAGAAAAGTACATAAAGAAATTAAAATATATAATGAAGGAAAGTTAAATCACTCATCATCACTCTATCCTGAGAAAATCATAATTTTGTAACAAACATTTCCTTCTAGACTTCTTCCTGTGTGAATATACTTTATCCTAGTCAGAATCCTGTTACTATAGGTGGTGAGGACTTCTGGCCAAGATGGAGGCATAGGTAGATACACTTTGCCTCCTCGCACAACCATAAAAAGGACAACAAATTTAAAAACAAAAAATAACCAGAAATGCCAGAAAATCAAACTGTATGGAAGTCTGAAAACCAAGGAGCTAAAGAAACATTCATCCAGACTGGGAGGAGGGGTGGAGATGGGCAGCCGGGGCAGAGAGGTTACACAGCAAGGCAGTGGCTGGAGGACCGGGTGGTCCTATATGTGCATGTGGATAAACTGGAAGCAAGAACTGGGGAGCGAAGCAGACTGTACAATGCAGGGTTCCAGTGTGGAAAAATAAAGCCTCAAAACCTCTGACTGAAAAAACCTGTGGTGGTTGAGGTGGTAAGAGAACCTCCCAGCCTCACAGGAGAGTTTGTTGGAGAGTCCCACAGGGTCCTAGAAGGTACACCAACCCACCCACCTGGGAATCAGCCCCAGAGGGCCCAATTTGCTTGTGGGTAGCAGGGGAAGTGACTGAAAGCCAGCTGAGAGCCAAGCAAATGGCATTATTCTCTCTGGGACTCCTCCCCCATATACAATGCTACAAAGCATTGACATAGGTTGCCCTGCCCTGGCAAATACCTAAGGCTACTCCCCTTACTATGTAACAGGCACACTGAGACAAAAAACATGGCCCAAATGAAAGAATAGATCAAAACTCCAAAAATAAGATTAAGCAATGAAGAGATAGCTAACCTATCAGATGCAGAGTTCAAAACACTGGTAATCAGGATGTTCACAGAAATGGTTGAATATGGTAGCAAAGTAGAGAAAAAGTGAAGGCTATGAAAAGTGAAATATAGGCAAATGTACAGGGAACCAACAGTGATGGGAAGGAAACTGGGACTCAAATCAACAGTTAGGACTAGAAGGAAGAAATAAACATTCAACCAGAACAAAATGAAGAAACAGGAACTCAAAAAAATGAGAGGCTTAGGAACTTCCAGGACAACTTTAAAGTTCCAACATCCAAATCATAGGGGTGCCAGAAGTAGAAGAGGAAGAGCAAGAAATGGAAAACTTTATTTGAAAAAATAGTGAAAGAGAACTTTCCCAATCTGACAAAGGAAGTAGACTTCCAGGAAGTCCAGGAAGCTCAGAGAATCCCAAAGAAGTTGGATCCAAGGAAGCACACACCAAGGCACATCATAATTACATTACCCAAGATTAAAGATAAGGAGAAAATCTTAAAAGCAGCAAGAGAAAGGGAGACAGTTACCTACAAAGAAGTTCCCATAAGACTATCAGCTGATTTCTTAAAAGAAACCTTGCAGGCAAGAAAGGGCTGGAAAGAGGTATTCCAAGCCATGAAAGGCAAGGGCCTAAATCCAAGATTGCTCTATCCAGCAAAGCTTTCATTTAGAATGGAAGGGCAGATCAAGTGCTTCCCAAATAAGGTCAAGTTAAAGGACTTCATCATCACCAAGCCCTTATTATATGAAATGTTAAAGGGACTTAGCTAAGAAAAAGAAGTTGATCAAAACTATGAACAGTATAATGACAACAAACTCACAACTATCAACAACTGAACCTAAAAAAACAAAAACAAAAATAAACTAAGCAGACCAGTAGAATGGGAACAGAATCACAGACATGGAGATCACATGGAGGGTTAGCAGCAGGGAACAGGAAGAATGGGGGAAAAGGTATAGGGAACAAAAAGCATAATTGGTAGGTACAAAATAGACAGGGGGCAGTTAAGAATAGGAAATGGAGAAGCCAAAGAACTTATATGTATGACCCATGGATGTGAACTAAGGTGGGAGAATGCTGGTGGGTGGGGGAGTACAGGGTAGAGGATAATAAAAGGGAAAAAAATGGGACAGTTGTAATAGCATAATCAAAAACATATTTTTAAAAATCCTATCACTATTTTATCTGTCTTTTTTTTTTACTAGCACTATATCAATAACAATTTCCTTACATGTATGACCCATGGACATGAACAATGGTGGGGACATTGCCTGAGGGAGTGTGGGTACATGTTGAAGGGGGACAAAGGGTAAAAAATCAGGATAACCATAACAGCATAATCTGTAAAATATAATTTAAAAAAAGAACAATTTCCCGTGACATTAAAAAATTCCTTTGAAGTGCCCTGGCTGGTGTGGCTCAGTTGGTTGGACGTCATTCTGCAAACTGAAAGGTCACAGGTTCGATCCCAGTCAAGGCAGGTGTCTGGGACCTGGGCTTTGGCCCCAGCTGGGGCACTTGCAGGAGGCAACCAGTTGATGTTTCTTTCTCACTCCAATTTTCCACCCCTTCCTCTCTCTCTAAAATAAAATAAAAATAAATGTTTTTAAGTTCCTTTGGAGCATAACTTTTGATGCCTTTAAAAAGTGATCAATAGTTTATTTAATAAGTCCCATATTGAACATTTATGTTGTTTAATACTTTTACCTTATAAACATGTTTACAGTGAGCATCTTTGTACGTGCATATGTATCCATGTTTCGAATTACTCAGGATGGACCACTAGAAATGCAGCTGGAGTCAAGGGGCGTGTGTGTTGAAGGATAGCGAGCCCTTCGATCACTTTGCCCCCCCAGGAAAGTCCCACTCAAGTCCCTCCCCCCTTCAGCCGAGCACTGGCGCAGAGATGATTTGTGGGGCTCGGTGTGCCAAGTTCTATTTTTAGTGGCTCTCTTCGTCTGCTTTATCAGAGGGGTCCGCTGAGAATCCTGGACTAACCATGCTCCCTTTGATCTCTCCTAGGAGAAGGGGATGTGGAAGGAGCAAGAAGCCCCTCGGCGAGACCCTCCCACCGAAAACTCCTGTGCAGCCACAGCGCTTGGCCCGCCGGCGGGCAGCCCCCCAGGTATCCCCACCTCCTCCTTTAGGAAGGCGCTAAGCTGGCCTCTCAGGCTGTCCCGGGGCCTGCTTAACCGGATTCGGGGACTCCTGCGCTCCGTCGGCCTGCATTTCAGGGACAATGCTTACAACTACTGCTACACGTACGAGCTCCTGAGCCTTGGGCTGCCCCTCCTGTGGGTGTTCTCCGAGGTCCTGGCTTCCATGTACCGGGAGTCCGAGGAATCCCTGGAGAGTATCCGCGACCGGGTGCTCCGGTACTTCCCGGTCGAGCTCCGCTGAGGGGCGCTGCCCCCAAGGCCCTTCACATTTCCAGGGCAGATGGTCTTGCGTTGGTCGTGAGCTAAGGAGCTGGTCAGGAAGCTGGGCGTCCTTGAACCCGTTAGCTCACCGCCAAAGAGTTGACCACAGGCCCCAGCCTTGTCAGGGCAGGCGACCACCTACTCATAGTGCTGGGGCCGGCCTGACATGAAGGATTTTTTTTATAGATTTGCATTTCTTTTATACCAAAGTGAGCTGTACTTCTAGGTTTACATTTCAATTTTTAACTTTTGATAAGCCAAGAAAAGGCGTTTTTTTTTTACCTTGTGTGTCAATTTATCTAAATACGAGTTTGAAGTTTTTAACCGGTATTACAAATCTCTTCCATGCTCCAGCCAGCCACGTCAGTGATTTGAGCTTTATATAAATGAAAGGGAGCGTGCCCTCTCCAGACCAGAGCCTTTCGATTTACGTACCCAGAGGCCACTTGTCGAGAGGGGGCAATTTTTTTGCAACATGGTAGCGTAATAATTGTAGAAGAACAGGAGAAGAGTGGAAGAGCAGAAGAACAAAGCAGAATTAAACATACACAGGACATGGCATGTGTAGTTGGCTATTGCATGGCCTCCCAGAGGGAGGAAGACTGTTTTGCTCTCTTGTTTTGATGTAAAATAGTAGCTTAACATTTCCCCTGCCCTCCTCAGTCCCATACCAAATCGTAGCCAAATGACCTAGAACCATGGGGTTTCACGCAGACGGCTCCAAACAGGCACCAGTGAAAAGGGCAGCAGAAGCCCGCCTGTGGCGCCAGACCACGCAGTGGCTCTGTCCAGCCCGCGCAGCACCTGCCGAAGAGGAGCTGTGTCCCCTGGGGCTCCCTCTCAGGTCCCCAGCCCAGGCTGCAGTCTGAGCCAAGGCCACTCAGGGTCCATGATGGTCAGGCTGAGGGAAAAATCTGCCCTCCCCCCGCCCCCAGACCATGTCCTTTGGGGCGGAGGGCATTTGTTAGCAGCTCAGGGTAATGTTTCTGGGAAGCACGGCTGACCCAGTGAGCACAGCTGACAGATCTGCTGGCTTCTGAGCCACTCAGCCACTGCACTTATTTGGTCAGAACAGTCAGAGACCACTAATTTTCATACCATCCTAGCAAAGGAATGTGTCTGACCTCCAGGGGGCAAGTCCCCTTTGTCTTGATTGGCAGGGGAAGCTGGGAGTGGAAGCTGTTTATTGACTAATGCAAAGAAATATGCCCTGTTTGGGGCAAAAACAAGCACTGGCCTACCTGCATTCTTCCCTCCAGGCGTCTGGAGGAGGCTGAAGCTCCCCCCACTCCCTGCCTGGACGTGTGCAGCTACCAGGTGGGGTTGAACAATGGAGAGGCTGATAGAAAAAGGCCTTCCACCCTGCTCAGCGTAACTGGAGCTGCCGGGCTGGAGACAGCTCCATGCACTTGTCACCCTAGCAATCTCCTCTAGATCTGGTAAGGGTGCGGCCTGGTGTGCATTTGGAACCGGAGCTCCTGAGAGCTTTGAGATGACAAGTTTCTAAACAGTGAGAAGAGGGGAAAGGCATTTTTACAAACACTTCCCTGAAGTCCTTGGGCAGAACAGGGCATGGCTGTGGCCAAGTCCGTGGGAACTGATATCTCTGTCCTTGCTGGAGCTGTTCTCAGTCCAATGACCTGCGTTGCGTTTTCCCAAATTTTTGCTGAGATTTTAATGTTCAGCATGGTAAGAGAAGCCCTTGAGTCATCTTACATGTGATTCCAGAAAGTAAATTCTGCAGGTCATGATGTGAACACAAGCACGGCTGGGTCATTGTCATTGCCATCAGCTCAGGGCAGGCTGGGACGCTCTGTGGAATACCCCATGAAGGCCCAGTTAGCATCTCTGAGAATGTCATTTGTGGCCATACAGAGACTGGTTTGAATTGCTCTGGTGAGACAGGGTGTGCTCGTCCGAAGCCTGAGATGTGTATACTGTTCTAAGACCTTGAACCTTCCTGGTGGGCAGCACTAAACATGCAGTAGTTCCCGGGGATGGAGGCCCCTAATCCTCCACGATGCATTCAAGAGTGAATATGAGACTCGAGTAAAATTGGGGCCACTGAGGGATGGGGGATTGCTGGGGGTCGGGGGTCCTAAGTGCATGTGGAGCTCTGAGTGGAGAGCCGTGGGTTGTTGCAAATGCAAACCACACCCGTTGTCCACTCTTGGAGCTGAGGAGATGCTCACTGCCAGAAAGGTTCACCTGTCCTAAGTAAGCAGTGACTTGTTTGGGGAAGATTCCCCTTGTTTAATGGTTGCCTTGTTTTCAATTCCTGTGTTTTCCCTTGTTACCGGTCTTTTCCCGTTTCTCCCCCCAAACTAAGCTCTCTTTTCTGTCTCTCTCCTTCCAACCTTACACTGTGGCCGTCAGTTCATTTCAGCCTTCCAGTGCTACACCCACTTCTTGGCTGACACACTTCTGCTCTGAGGTGACTGGTTTTCTTGCGGATTTTCAGAGAGTGGGACTAACCTGTAAGCCGCTTTCCGCACCCCGTCCTCCCCGCCGCCGTGGCACTGGTTGTGCTAACTGCAAGTGTCTTGCATACTAACGGACTCATTCAGGGGCATGGTGGGTGAACAGTGAGGGGTGGTGTCCAGCTCAAAAGGTGTTTCCGATTCCACTTACCTCCGAGCCGGCAGCCCGGCCCATGCCAGGTGCATGCCCTTCTGCCCTCTGTTCCCCTGTGGCCTGCGCTCCTGCTTCTCCAGTTGCACTTACAAAGCCGCTTGCCTCCCCGGGAGGGTTACCTCTGAGTGTGAGACAGTACCATGGGGCGGGCTCTGTCACCTTTGAAAAGAACTCCTTTGTCAGGGTGCCTCTGAAAAAGCACATGCATACAAACATCTTCTTAAATTCGTTCTAATATAAAGATGATTAATGTCATTGATCAAAACCAGACGTGTCTCTTTATGGAGAAATTAAAAAAATACTCTAGGTTTCATCACCCGCTTGATCCATACTCTGAATTTTGAACCCATCATCACAATTTCCCTAGCAAATCCTTCCTCTGCTGCAGCCTTATACTAGAGATCCAACGGTTTTGCCGTGGCTCTTCGTATCTTCCCTGGCTCCTAGAGTCTCAGATGAGGAGAAACGTCAGTGAGAGCAATCACGTCCCAGTTCAGGGATGGCTTTGAGAAATGACTCAGCTCAGCCCCAGACCTGCAGCAGCCAGTTTCAATGGCCCCATGGCTCTGTACAAAGCACACTTTCCCTGCTTGACTCCTTACATGGAGCAGCAAGACATTCAAAGTGCTTTTAAAGAGAAACAGCATGGCAAGTACCATAGATCCATTGTAGGCCAGGCCTCTCGGCCTCAGGCTGCAGGTGGTGCATGCAGGCTGCATGCGGCCCAGAGCCACACTGACCTCTAGGCCCGTCTGCACTGCCCTGCATGCTGCATTGCTCCCTGCATCGGTGCAGACCCTAGCCAGCACAAAGTCATTGCTCTTGTCTTATCTTCTCTTGCAGAGTCTCCCTCCCTTTATAGAATGTCAACCAAAGAGTGTCCTCTTCCCCTCTCAGCCTCCTCCTTAGCTAGCCTGCCCCGCCCCATCGCAATGCATGTTTGGGACCGTTAGCAGTCATTTACAGTGCCACATGGAACCCTGTATTTTGCACACAGCAACCAATGTTTAGCTTTATTTATGGTATTTGATGCTGTAAATGAAAATAAATATGGTTCTTTATAAAGCTCATTGTTTCCTCTCTTCTTTGCCATGGAAGCTGCTCCATCCTGAAGCACGGGAGTTAGTTTAGGGGGTCAATCTTCCCTAAACTGCTGGCGGGACTTGCACTGGTGGTGACCTGGGACTCTCTGGGACTGCGCTGGGCACTCTGAAAGTAAATATTACCCAGGGGTAATATTTGGAAAAAGTCACCACTGCTCCTGGGCCAGGCTTTGGGGTCTGTTTCTTGAAAACTCATGGCACTTTCCTGCTCTAGATGCTGGACACAGCTGGTGAGGGCCAGTGTCACCTCAGCTGTTAGGTACAGACTATCTTTCTTTCCTTTTTGTTTTTTTTTTTAAGGAACAGACTATCTTAACAGCTACTGGACCCTACTTCCCCCATACATCCAATCATGGACCTGTCGGAGGGCGGTACTTAGGAACTGTATGCTAATTTAGGTTCCTGTATAACAAAGTTTGCTCTAGAAAGGGGTTCGCTGGCCCAGCTGAGCAGTGGGTGAAAGGTCAGGAGGCAGGACCACGCACTGGTTTCAGGATGGCAGTGAACATGGCAGGTGTGCTCATCCAGATGAAGGGCCATTTGTGATCCTGAGAGACCTGTCCTGTCCCCAAAGGCTCAATGACTCAGTGTCTTAGGCTGCAGGGCTCTGGTCACTGGGGCTCCTCTGGGGACAGCACCATGGCCAGCTCTGGTCCAACTCTAGGATGCCCTTAAAGGAAGGATTTGGAGTCCCACTTGCCTTCAGAGTCTGGTCCTCATCCTCCCTGGGGCAGGGATGCCTGCCACTGCCAGGCTGAATGCAGCCGGGCTTCTGACTCTGATGTGAAAACCCATCTGTGAACTTCCCGACAGCCCTTATACTTCCAAGGGGGCATTTCTTGGCCTCTGGGCCTCTGAGCCCAGATGCAGGTGCCTGAAACAGTTTCAGAGCTGCCGGGGGTCATGACCAAGGTGAGACACACTTCCCATCCCATGGAAGAAAGGGTGTTAGGGATTGGAGTCAGGAG